GAAGAGCGCTTCCAAACCTTCCGCTGGCGAATCGCGTTGGGACGCTGGAGCAGGAGCCCAGAAGAGACAAAGGTTATTACAGGTTATCAGTTATAAAGCGGGGGGGGGGACGGACACAAAAAGGTCATTCTTTGAGGAACTGGCGCGGGGCGGGGAGGGGGGGTGCGGTTAGCAAAGGGCCAGCCCCTTCTTTCTGGGGGTACAACCACCACGACCAGTCCGTCCCCCCTGCCCCCTCCCCCGCCCCCCCCTGCCCCCTCCCCCCGTCTCCGCCCCCCCCCCGCCCCCGCCCCGGGGTTTCGGGCCCGGCGCCCGACGCGAGAGGAACGTAAAGGAGTGGAGGGAAAGTGGGGTCAGGTGCAGGGACGCGGGCCCGGGAAGCGGCGCGCCGCCCGAATTACGGGGAAGGCGTGGCCCGACCGCGGCCAGCCGACCGGCCGCGGAGACGCTCCGGGAGGACGGCGCTGCCGAGCCTCCCGTGACAGCTCGGACCCCCGCGGCCGCGGCCCTCCCGGGGTGCGCGCCCCCGGCTCTCGCGGCTCTCCCCCATCTCCGTCCTCCCTCCTGCCCTCCCTCCGCCTCCCCCACCTGCATCTCCACCCCCCCCTCCGTCCCTCACACCTGGCCAGCGGCCGGCCTGCACACAACACCCACCGCCGCCGCCACCAAGGTAGGAGCCCAGCTCAGCCGCTCCTTCGTCCCCTTCTCACCCGGAGAAGAGCGCCGGCGCCCGAGCTTCCGCTTGTCCATCTTCTCTCCTCCCGTCGCGGTGGTCGGCGCTGTCACCTCAAGACCCCCTCGAAGCGGAGGGGAGGGCGGGGGAGGGGAGGCAGCCCAGAAAGTGCGAGCTGCGCTTGCGCAAGAGCCGTTGCTGGCTCCCCCCCACCGGAAATTGGCGGCCCCTCCCACCTCCACCCGGAAGTCGCTTCGGGGGACTTTGTGTTGTTTTTTTTCGCCTCGTGCTGCCACCTCCATTGCTTCTTTCCCATCATCTGTCTCCCTCGGGGAACGTGAGGTTGGGTGCCCGAGTTCCACCTGGGGTTTGCAAGGACTCTCGGTTACTCGGTTGATGGAAATTAGACGGCATCTGAGGAACGGGACCGAGGGGGTGACTGGTGAAGGTGCCGGTATGCATAAACGGTTGCATCACAATGAATCCCCTCCGAGGGTAGGAGGTGAGGTTGAGGAGACATTGCATCTGTATGCAGAAATATAATGAAGCCCCTCTGTGCAACTAGTACAAGCTCGTAAAAAAAAAATCTTAACTCAAAGCCTTTGTAAAGCAGCCCTCCCCCCAAAAATACGAGACTAGAACTTTACACTTTTGAGATCACTTTCTGTCCTCAGCTATGTTTTGTCCTGAGAGGTTTTCCACAACTTAAAAAAAAAAGGCCTTTTAAGACGGCAAATAAACTAACAGTATAACTCAATTTAGCATTTGGAGTGAAAATAAATTAGGTCAGCTGATGTTATAGAGTAATAAAAAAAAATCAAATTCAAGTCTGTCAGAACTGGAGGTTGTGGCTCAAGTGGTGGAATGTGTCGGTGTACCTGCTTAGTAAGCACTAAATTTTGAGTTAAAACTCCAGTACAGAAGAAAAAAAAATTCAAGCTTGTCGTTTTTTAAAAACCTGGAAGAAAAGAAAAACAAAATGCTGAGATGGTGACCAGTAAGTTGATATGATTTGACACATTCCCATACGCATCTGCCTACTCCTCAGTGAACCCCAACTCTGCCTCATAATTTTGAAATGCTTTTTTTGAAAAGGCTTCTCAGCTAATCTTTTTTTTTTCTTCCTTTTTGTCGGTCATGGGGCCTGATCTCTGGGCCTGGGTGCTATCCCTCAGCTCTTTAGCAAGAAAAAAAGGAAATGCTCTGAGATAAGAATTTTTGAAATGTAAGTCTTTTTCTTAACTAGTTGCACTGTACAAGAATTCAGTCAATGAGAAACAGAGAAGTCACATTTTGAGAGGTAGAATTGGGAGACTTTATTAAAAGTTGGCAACTGCAGGTGGACTCTTGTCCCAAAGACGTGCAGCCCAGAATTGAGCTGGCACGGATTTTTTAAAGACAAAAACCACATGTTTGGGGTGGAGACCTCAAACCCAACAAAAGCAGACCCTACAGTTACTCAGGTGCAAGCAAAATTTTGCATCTAGAGAAGTAGCTCAAGAGCCAACTAAACTTTCCAAGTAGGGAAAAACAGTCGGAGTTGGTCTGATAATCAAGGATGAGCATTCTCTGTAGCAAGAGCTTTTCTAGGGCTAAACAGCATAACATCTGCAATTCAAAGAATGGCTTCTCTCACCTCTGGACTTTTCACCCAGCTACAAACGGTACCCGGATGGCTATGGGAACAAGGCTTGTTACTTAGACCCATTCTCCTTATTTCAATTGTTCCAAGATGGAATTAAGAGATATCTCAAAAGACAAACTTCAGATTGCTTAAAAACTAGTACCAGTGGTGGGTATATTTTGAGATTTTTTTTTTTTACTTTTAATCCTATTCCAGTGTTTTGTTTGTTTGTTTTTTGTTGTTGTTTTTCTGGTCCAGGGGCTTGAACTCTTGAGTTCCTTTTGCTCAAGGCTAGCACTCTACTAGAGCCACAGAGCCACTTCTGGCTTTTTTGGTACTTTATTAGAGATAAGAGTCTCATAGGGCTGGGAAGGTGGCTCAGTGGTAGAGTGCTTGCCTTGCATGCATGAGGCCCTGGGTTCGATTCCTCAGCACCACATAAGCAAAAAGAAAAAAGCCAGAAGTGGCGCTGTGGCTCAAGTGGTAGAGCGCTAGCCTTGAGCTGAAGAGCTGAGGGACAGCGCCCAGGCCCAGAGTTCAGGCCCCACGACCGGACCCAAAAAAAAAAAAAGGGTCTCATAGACTTTTCTACTCAGACTGGTTCAAACTGTGATCCTCAGATCTCAGCCTCCAGAGCTGCTAGGATTATAGGCATGAGCCACTGGTGCCCAGCTTTGAAGTAAATGAATGTTACCCTCTTCAACTTAGCCAATTTAGAGCAAATTGTGAACCTCAGCTCAACCAATCCAAGCAGAGGGGCAGGGCCTGCTGTGTTAATAATAATAAAAGACTGGCTGCTTTGAGTGTTTTCTTGCCATATTTTTTGGCTGATGGCACACCCTTCTGTGCAGAAGTAAATTTTACCTTGCTGAGACAATACTTTGTTTCCATGTCTATCTGTGATTCCAGTTCTTGTAGAGTATATTTATACCATAATGAAGATGAAAGTTGATTGTGACTTGGACTAACATGGCAGAGGTAGAAAGGTAATAGTAACTAGGCTATAGATATATTTCAAATAAAAGAACCCACCAATTTACTAATTAATTGAATGAGGTATATGAAAATAAGACATTGTTACAGTTGAGTTGCCATTTGCCACAAAAAGAAAAAAAGCATACAGTAGACTGAAAGGGGAGTTTTAAGCAAATGGGAGATGGCTATTTCACATATAGTAGATATATGAAGTAGATAGTTACAGATCATAGTATACTAAACAAGCAGAGTGTACTATAATAAGTCCTAAAGAATTGTCTTAAGTCAGGCATGGTGATATATCCCTGGAGTCCCAGCTACTTGAGAGGCTGAAGCAGGAAAATCACAAGTTTAAGCCCAGTCTGGGCCACGAGAGTATAAAAAAAACCATGTTTTTGTTCAATATTTTACTCTAAAAGATACTCATCTTTTATACATGTATGATTTTGTTTTTTGAGTTTGAAACTCCTATTCTGTCCTTCAAGAACTGTCTCTTAGCTAATTAGGTAACAAACTCCTAACCAAGATGAATGAGAATAATTAAATGTTACATACTGGGCTGGGAAGGTGACTCAGTGGTAGAGTGTTTGCCTTACATGCATGGGGCCCTGGGTTCAATTGTTCAGCACCACATAAGGAGAAAAAGCCGGAAGTAGTACTGTGGCTCAAGTGGTAGAGCGCTAGCCTTGAGCTGAAGAGCTGAGGGACAGCGCCCAGGCCCAGAGTTCAAGCCCCACTACTGACAAAAAAAAAAAAAACATACTGAATACTACCAGAAAATACTGATTTTCTGTACTTACTCTGATTGAAAATTAATGTAATTAATAAAGTTATTTGTTTACTTCATTTAATAGTGAATGTTGTGATTTTATTTTTAGTACAGGAAGTGGCAAATTTACAGCATAGAACCTGAATAAACAAAACATTTTTACATTTGAGATTACTGCTTCTCTGTGCAAAATTGGTCTTCCACGCCAAATTATAAAAAGACTTTCCAAAAAAAAAAGACTTTCCTTTTGGAAAACAGCTTCTTATTATCTGGTAACATGGAGGATGCTGATGTGATATAAAATTCTTAATTCTAGGCTTAATTTCTTAGAGAAGGTTTAGTGCATATATACCAGTGCTATGACTTGAATTTAAGAGTCTGGGTGCTGCTGTCTCTTCTTAACTTTTGCACTCAAGGCTGGCACTCTACTACTTAAGACACAGGTCCACTACTAGGTTTTTGTTGGAAAATTGGAGATAAGAATCTCATAGACTTTCTTGTCCAGGCTGGCTTTGAACACCTATCTTCAAACTTCAGCCTCCTGAGTAGCTTCGATTACAGGCATGAGCCATCAGCACCCGGTTAAATAAGCACTCTCATTTTCTTTCCCTTGGCAAGATTTCACAACTTTTTGTCAACTTTTTAACTACATGATCACCTTGTCTGTGGTTGATGCCCCAAAATCTCCCAATAAGCTTCTAATGGTCTTTCTGTCTAAATCCAATACATACTTTTCTATCTATATTGCATGTTTCCTAGGCAGGGTTTATGAATTCATCCATTCTTCCTTGAAATCCTTCCTTTGATTTCTATGTCATATATATGTATATTTATTTTATTTTTTTAATTACCAGTCCTGGGGCTTGAACTCAGGGCCTGGGCACTTTAACTGAGCTTCTTTTGCTCAAGGCTAGCACTCTACCACTTGAACCACAGCGCTGTTTCTGCCTTTTTCTGTTTGTATAGTACTGAGGAATCGAACCCAGAGCTTCATGCATGCTAGGAAGCACTATGCCACTAGGCCATATTTCCAGCCCTTCTATGTCATATTTTGATTTTTTTTTCATGTATCCATGGCTTCTTCTTTGTAGTCTCTGTTGTCCATTCCTCCTGTCCACCCGGGCTCAGAATGTTTTTTTCCATCCATGCATTTCAACAGACTCTATATCAACAATTTTCACATCTTTATTTGTATACCATTTCCTTTTCTTGTAAACTCCAGACCCATATAGCCAATGTCATATGTCCCAAAGGGGACTTCATTTAATTGTTTTAAAAAGTTCCATGCCTAAAATTGTACCATCTTTCCTATTACCCTTATGTACTCCTTTTCCCCATTCTCTGCACTGTTGGTTAGTCACTATCCAAGTGTTCAAACCAGGTTATTGACTTCTTCTCTTCCCAAATGTTCAACAAAGATTGTCAATTTGATTGTCAGTTTCACTTTCCCCAAATCATTTCCCATCCTTTTTCCCATTAGTATCCAATTTTCAGCTCAGGGCCTACCTCCTGCTTGCTCAACTTGCTTGCTCAGCTGGGATCTACCACTTGAATCAGACCTCTGGCCCAGCATTTCAATGGCTATTTGGAGATGAAGTCTCACAAGTCCTATATAGCTAGGGTTATGCCCTATGCATGGCTTCTTCCTTTCTTTGCCTTGCCTCTACTGTTTATTACTCTAGCCCAATTCATTGCCATCACTTACCAAATAGAATTCTCTCAATGCATGCCAGCCACTATTATATGCAGAGCAGAGAATTTAATAAAGCAAGTCTCTATTTGACAAGAAACACTTGACACTTTTTCTTCCAACTTTTGAAAAACACTTGGTATAGAGAAATATATTTCTTCTGTGTGATAAATAATGCAGACAGATTACAAGGCAAATTAATTTGTGCCAGTAAAGAACAGACAATATATATTGGAATGAACTGTGGAGAACCTGAGAGCAGATGCCATGACTACAGTCTTTATTTTAGTTCATGGAGTCAATCCATTATTTCTGAAAGGGCATGGCAAAGCAGAACCATTTACATCATGGTAGCTGGAAAGCAGAGTAAATAGAAAATACAGGATGAGTCCAGAATGAGACATGTCTTTCAAGGACCTGTTCCATAGTGACCTACTCCATCCAACTAGGCTTCACCTCTGATCTATCATCACCATCCAATAATACCATCTTATTATAAATCCACCAGGGTACAATTGCTACTCAGGAGGCTGAGTTCTGAAGATCATGATTCAAAGCCAGCATTGACAGGAAAGTTCATGAGACTCTTCTCCAACAAACTACTCCTACAAAAAAGCCAAGTGGAGCTGTAATTCAAGTAGTAGAGTCTTAGCCTTGAGCAAAAAACACCTGAGAGACATTGCCCAGGCCCTGAGTTCAAGCCCCAGGACCCACACCAAACAAATAACAACAACCCCACATCTGCTAAATCTACTTCAGGAAATCTTTTCTTTTGATGTTTTCTTATGTTTTATCTCTTCTTTCTCATAAAATGACTTGATCTATTTTGAGTTAATCTTTATATATATATTTTTGTTGTTGTTGGTCGTGGGGCTTGAACTCTGGGCTTGGGAGCTCTTCAGCTCAAGGCGAGTGCTCTACCGCTTGAGCCACAGCACCACTTCCGGTTTTTTAGTGGTTTACTGGAGAAAAGAGTCTCACGGACTTCCCGTCCGGGCTGGCTTTGAACCACGATCCTCAGATCTTAGACTCCTGAGTAGCTAGGATTACAGGCATGAGCCACCGGCGTCCGACTTAATCTTCATATAATTTAAGGTCTTGGCAAAAGGTCATCCTGTACCATTTGTTGAAAAGACTGATCTTCCCCAAGGAATAGCTTTGGATGGTTTTGAAAAATAAGCCAGGGCTGGGAATGTGGCTTAGTGGTACAGTACTTGACTTGCATGCATGAAGCCCTAGGTTAGATTCCTCAATACATAAACAGAAAAACCCAGATGTGACGCTGTGGCACAAGTGGCAGAGCACTAGCCTTGAGTAAAAAAAGCCCAGGGACAGTGCCCAGGTCCTGAGTTCAAGCCCCAGGAACAGCACAAAGGAAGGAGGGAAGGAAGGGGATGGGAAGGGAAAGGAAAGGAAGGAAGGGTAGATCAAGGGTCAAGACTACCAGTTAACAAATGCTCCTTAACTTCATTTTCACATTATATTTGCCAGACGAAGTCTGTGCTCAACTACCTTCCAGACGTTTTTAATAGGTAGGCACTATTGGTAAATTGGTCGATAACGTTTACAGTTAAAGACCTAGAATCCCATTTTATTTTAGGAAGCACACTCTTCCACAAGACCTGACAAAGTCTCAAGGTTTTAGGATAAATGGGGGTGGAGGGTAAGAAGTAAATAGGCTGCAAGCTCCAAGAAAGCGGCTAGCTTTACAACCCACCCACCCACTCCCCATCCCCAGCACCGCACAGCTTTCAGCCGGGGAATTTTTCTCCCGCCTCCTGTGACGTCAGAAGATCGCGTCGAGAGGAAGAGGACCGGACTTCCGGCGGAGCTGCCGCGGTCGCCGCCGCCGTTGCCGGAGCTGTAGTGGATCTGTGAGTGGACCGTGTGGGCTCGCGTGGTCTGAGGAGGAGTTCGACTGTCTCTACGGCGGGTACGCGTACTGTTTCTTCTTTCTGCCAGTGTTTCGGGGTAAGAGGGTCCCGATGACCTTTTGAAATGCTCGTAGGGGAGCTTGCGCGCCGAGAGCATGTGCAGTGGAGAGTAGTGACTTACAGACTACGTTATACAGCGTCTGGAACGAGAGCAGTATTTCCCCAAATGACATCCTTGACCGATTTTTTTTTTTCTGGTCGGTCGTGGGGCCTGTACTCTGGGCCTGGGTGCTGTCCCTCAGCTCTTCAGCTCAAGGCGAGCGCTCTACCACTTGAGCCACAGCGCCACTTCCGGATTTTTTTTCCTGCTTCTTTGGTGCTGAGGAATCGAACCCAGGGCCTCATGCATGCAAGGCAAGCGCTCTACCACTGAGCCACTTTCCCAGCCCAAGCCTGAATATTTTTTAATGTGAGAAACCTTGATCCAGATCGTTTACTCTGAAAATATTTGAGTGATTATTCCCAGCCACATACTATCAAGTATTTTAACTGTCTTTTTCTGAATGGAATAGATAGCCATTATCATCCAGTAACATACAATACTATATTCCAAGCACTATTATAAGCGGAGAGTACTATGAAAACAAATAGGAATACTTGATCTAAAGTATGAGGTGTTTCCAGTTATCATGGTACATAACTATAAAAGCACTTGGAAGGCTGAGGCAGAAGGACCTCCTGTTTGAGGCCATCCTGGTTTACGTGGTAGGACCATGACTAAAACAAAAAACAAAACAAAACAAAAAAACAAAGCCTAAGATAAAGGATATATACAAATGTAGACAAAAAGGCAGTCATAAAAAATAGGAAGCTTTATTAATAAGTTCAGACTTGAACCTGGCAAGTAACCTTAATATACATTGGGGAGGTTATGAATGTCACTAACCAGATTTGCGACCAGACTCACAGGTCTGAGAGATAAAAGAAAGCAAGTCTGAGAGATAGGAAATGAAGTTAAGAAAATGAAGTTAAAGAGACAAGAATGCATTCAAAAGTATGTAGACTTGGTAAAATGCCTACAATTTGGTAGTGCTGTATTGGGTCAGTGATTAGAACAATTTATGTGACTGAGGACAGAAGTGAAATTACTTCCAATTTCTAGCTCAGTAACTGGTTTAATTAATAGTAATTTATTTATTTTATTATTATTTTTTGTTGGTCATGGGGCCTGAACTCTGGAACTGTGCGCTGTCCCTCAGCTCTTCAGCTCAAGGCTAGTGCTCTACCACTTGAGCCATAGCACCACTTCCAATTAATAATAGTATTGCTATCCAAAACAAAACACAGGATGAGCAGGTTTGGTAGGAGAGAGAGATTATTTCATTTTTTGCATTTGAGGCATTTTTCTGGTGTTGGTGTTTGAATCCATAACTATAAATTATATCTCCAAAGGGAAAGAAACAGATCTTTTAAGTAGGGTAAGAACAAAACCGGTCTTATCTATACTGGGTGTGGGGAGCAATCTGGTCATCTGTGTACTGTCCAGAGAGGTTGGAGATTAGGAGAATGCAGAACCATTAAATGAAGCAGAGAAAGAAGAACTTAGCCAGGTGCCAGGGGCTCACACCTGTAATCCTAGCTATACAGAAGGCTGAGATATGAGGATCAGGGTTCAAAGCCAGCCCAGCCTGGGCAGGAATGTCCGTGAGACTATTATCTCCAATGAACCACCAGAAAACTGGAAGTGGCACTGTGGCTCAAGTGGTAGAGCCCTCGCCTCTAGCTCTGAAGAGCTGAGAAACGGCACCCAAGCCCAGAGTTCAAGCCCCACGACTGACAAAAAAAAAAAAGGAAAGAGGAACTTTTTATTTTCAGGTATTTTCTAAACATTTAAATAATTTTTCTTTTTGGTTTCACATCTCTAAGCATCTTCATTATGTTGTGGAACATTGAGTTCCTCAAGATAAAATTGGGAAGCATTGTATATGTTTGTCTCTTGAGACATTCTGTTGATATTTGCTATAAAGTTTGAACTGTAGAATTCGCTATTTTGTAATCCTTCATTTAATTGTTGACAGTAGCATCATTACAACCATTCTTTTTTTAAATATTTTATTGAGATTAAGTGATTACATAAATTTCACATATTTCACAGTATTGTGGACTTAGTTAAAGTCACAAACACATTTTAATCTTCACAAGACAAATTGTCATTATCATGGTCTATACAGTTTGTGAATTCTAGGAGCGTTGACGATACAACTATTTCTTCCACATCAGGTGATCTTTACATTTCTTTCCTTTTGCTTAGTGTAAGCTGTTCCCCCTTTCCCTCTCATTCCCTCCGTCCATTGCTGCCTTTGAGTTGCTTAGTTCATTTTCATCTATGTCCAGTGTGTTCCTATTCCCCTCTGATTGTGTCTTCCTTCTAGCTCTCCCTCAGATGTGTGCATACATATACATATATGTGGTCAAGAATATGGAGTCAGTTAGCAGTGATAAGACAAAGTGAGTGGAAATCCTTTGTTTCTTGAGTCCTGTTTACTTTGTCATATCTCCTTCCAGTTTGGCTTTTGCATCCACATATCAGGGAGACCATGTGCCATTTTTTCTTTGTTCTTGGTTTACCTTGCTCAAAATGATTTGCTCTAGTTCCATCCATTTCCCTGCAAATGCAGGGAAATGTTTTTTGGGGGGAGAGTCCGGTCCTGGGGACTGAACTCTGGGTCTGGGTGCTGTCCCTCAGCTCTTCAGCTCAAGGCTAGCACTCTACCACTTGAGCCACAGTGCCACTTCCAGCTTTTTTCTTTTTTTTGTCCTTTCGAATGACTGCATAATATTCCGTTGTATATAGGTACCACAATTTTTGGATACATTTATCTGTAGTGGGCATCTGGGTTGTTTCCATATCTTGGCTATTGTGAACAGTGCACAACCGCATTTCTTTCTTTTTTGTTTTTTTGTTTTTTGGGGGGAGAGTCCGGTCCTGGGGACTGAACTCTGGGTCTGGGCACTGTCCCTCAGCTCTTCAGCTCAAGGCTAGCACTCTACTACTTGAGCCACAGTGCCACTTCCAGCTTTTTTCTTTTTGCTTATCTGGTGCTGAGGAATTGAACCCAGGGCCTCATGCATGCAAGGCAAGCGCTCTACCACTGAGCCACCTTCCCAGCCCCCAAATAAGTTTTAAAATCTTTCCTCAATGAATGATCACAAGCTAAGGCTATAGAAATTTAGGAGAAATTAATAGTGCAGAAAATGAATGGTGTATAAGGATTTAATTTTGTGTTTTGTAAGTTGATTACATTTTTGTGTGTGTGTTTGGTACTAGAGCGTTTGGTACTAGAGCTTGAACTCAGGGCTTGTGCACTAGATTTTTTTTAAAATCAAGCCTAGTATTCTACCACTTGAGCCACAGCTCTTTGGTGGTTAATTGGAGATAAGAGTCTCACAGACTTTCCTGTTCCAGGCTGGCTTCAAACCTCGATCCTCAGATATGAGCCTTCTAAGTAGCTAGGATTACAAGTGTGAGCCATTGGTGCTAAGCTCAAATGCATTTTTTGGTCAAATTCTATTTACAGAGTTTGTAAGTTTTAGAAATGTCAAAAAGTTTTTTTTTGTTTTTGTTTTTTGTTTTTTGTCTAGCTTAATTTATCTTCTTTTACAGACATTTCCTCACATCCATTTTCTTCAAAATGAATGTTAGTGTCACTTGCTTAAGACCTTTTGCCAGGTTGCTGGTGCCATTTACTCTTCAAAGGAGGAAAAGAAATTTATATCCAATAATTCTACAGAGATACATGTGTTCCAAAATACCTGCTGTGCCCTACCCTAACAAAGAGAATTCATCCCCTCCTGCACAGCTGGAATTAGATGGATGGAAAACTACAATGAAAGCTAGTCTGCAAGAAGAAAGTGTTTCAACAGTCTCAAACAAGGATGAAGATTCTTTCGCTGCCACTAGAGAATTAATTGAGATGTGGAGATTGCTTGGCAAAGAAGTACCAGAACATATCACTGAAGAAGAGCTCAAAACTGTTATGGAATGTCCTTCTAAATCATCCAAAAAAAAATACCTAAAATATTTGAGTATTAAGGAAAAACTTAAAAAAGCTAGGCAAATGAAAAAAGAAGTAAAAGCAATAGCAAGGGAAGAAGCAAAAAAAGCCAAGCTGCTAGAAACCACTGAGGAAAAACAACAAAACTTTCTATTTCTTCGACTTTGGGACAGGAATATGAACATCGCAATGGACTGGAAGGGGGCCCAGGCTATGCAGTTTGGACAACCTTTGGTTTTTGATATGGCTTATGATAATTGTATGAACTCCAAAGAAATGCGAAATACCGTTTCTCAAGTTTTAGAAAGTGAAGGATGGAACAGAAGAAATGTTGACCCTTTTCATATTTATTTCTGCAATCTTAAAATAGATAGTGCTTACCATAGAGAGTTAGTTAAATGTTACAAACAAAAATGGGACAAATTACTTTTAACAGCAACAGAAAAGTCTTATGCAGACTTATTTCCAAAGGACAGTATTGTATATTTAACTGCAGATTCTCCTAATGTTATGACTACTTTCAAGCATGATAAAGTTTATGTAATTGGATCATTAGTTGATAAAAATATGAAACCAGGTCTCTCCCTAGCTAAGGCAAAACAGCAAGGACTGGCAACACAACGCCTTCCATTAGATAAGTATTTACAATGGGACATAGGTACCAAAAATCTCACCTTAGATCAAATGATACGTATTTTGTTATGTCTGAAAAACACTGGTGATTGGCAAGAGGCTCTGAGGTTTGTTCCAAAAAGAAAGCATTCTGGTTATCTGGAGGTTTCCCAGTATTCTCAAGACTTTGTAAATAAACTGAAGAAGACTAAGACTTTTAGTTCATATCCACAGAACTCTTTAAATGTAGGCAAACAGAAAAAGTGACTTGAAAAAGGAAAATTTAATCAAGTTCATTTCTAACTGCTGCGTTATGTCTTTTCCAATTAGATATCTTCAGAACTTTGAGAATTATGCTTTGTTTACTGTAAAAAGACAATCTGAAAAAAGTCCTCCTAGGTTTGTTGATTAATCCTTAAATAACCCCAATAAAACAGTACACTGCTGTGGCTTTTTCTGAGTCTCAGTCACCATTATCCTCCTCATTCACTAATCCAGGTCAACAAATACCCTTTCATGAAAAAAATTGAAAGTTTATAAACATGAGATGGTAGTTCACTTATTAAGCTCAAGCATAGGCACAAAAGTATTGTTTAAGCCTTGATTCAAAAAGCTAAAACATCCTTTGGCATCTTACATGAATTGGCTATATTATAAAAAATGAGTTTGTGGAAATGTTTACCTTGTTTCTTCAGCCATTAGTTTCTATTTTTAGTTTTCTATTATTTTTTTTTGGGGGGGGGGGAAGGGTCCGGTCATGGGGTCTGAATTCTGGGCCTGGGCGCTGTCCCTCAGCTCTTCAGCTCAAGGCTAGTGCTCTACCACTTGAGCCACAGCGCCACTTCCGGCTTTTTTTCTTTTTGCTTATGTGGTGCTGAGGAATTGAACCCAGGGCCTCATGTATGCAAGGTTTTCTATTAGTTTTTGCTGTGCATGAAACTCAGAGCCTGGAGTATGCCAGGCAAGCCCTCCAAGCCATATCTTTCTTATCCTAGGATAGTCATGATAATCACACTCCCGTGGCCAATTATTAATCCAGAATGGATATGACTTGAAGACAGCCCAGGATAGGCCTTTTTAATCCATATTTTTTTAGATTTGAGAGCTAAAATAGCCTACTTTGTTTCTTTTCAGGTGGTGGATTGTGATATAAAGGCTTTAGGATTGTTAGTAGACATGCCAAATGGGTGGAAGAGGGTGAAGCTTATGGAGACTAGTTTCATATCCCCACTGACAATAGTACATGCTGTCTAGCTATTGATTTTCCTTTTTCAGTTACTGCTTGTTTAAACCCCATCAAACATACAGGTCTGCTTCTAGTAAATTGCTCTTTGCCTGAGCTATCAAACTAAAACACTTGGAAAAATGTATACTTGTTTTCTAGAAAGCAACCTAAGTAACAATATTCAGCCTAGTGCCAGAAGCAACGGAAAGCTGAGATCGGGGGATCACAATTCATTGCCAGCTGAGGCAGGAAAATCCATGAAGTAGGAAGTGGAGTTGATTCAGGTGGTAGAGTGCAAACTGTTGCTGAGGAATCGATCCCAGGACCTCATGCATGCAAGGCAAGGACTTAACCACTGAGCCACCTTCCTAGCTCCTCATATTTGAAGCTTGAATATCTCCACTAATAATAGTAAACATTTTTCAAATAGTAAATTTACAAAGGGCATCGAAAGGTTTTTGTTTTCTTAATACTGAGGGTTGAACTCAGGGACATAAACTTTCTTGACACATCCTCTATACCTGAAGCCACAGTCCGTATGCTTTTTCAGTTTTTCAATCCTGGCACTTTTGTCTAGGCCACCTTTGATCATTGTCCTTCTTCAACCTCTGGAAGTAGGGGCTCTTAGGATGGAGGAGCGACCTCCTACAAGTATTTTAACAGTCTTTTCTCAATTTTTTTTTTCTGGGTATTGAACCAGTGTCTTGTACACAAGGATCCCAGATACCACTGAGCAATAAGCCTAGTTCTAAAGAAAGTGTTTTTGAGACAGGCACTGGTAGCTCACCTGTAACCCTAGCCACTCAGGAGATAGAGATCTGAGGATTGCAGTTCAAAGTCAGCCCTGATAGTAAATCCAAAACTCATCACCCAATAACCATCAGGAAACTGGAAGTGTATCTGTGGCTCAAAGTGGTAGAGCTCTCCCTAGCTTTGAGCCAGCTCTAGGACAGCACCTAGGACTGAGTCCAAGGCCCTAGACCAATCAAAAGACAAAAGTCGAAGCTTTTTTTTTGGGGGGGGGGGAGGAAGGTCCGGTCGTGGGGCCTGAACTCTAGGCCTGGGCGCTGTCCCTCAGCTCTTCAGCTCAAGGCTAGCGCTCTACCACTTAAGCCACAGAGCCACTTCCAGGGCCTCAGGCATGCAAGGCAAGCGCTCTACCATGGAGCCACCTTCCCAGCCCAAGTTGATGCTATTTAAGGCAACACTTTATACACACAAGTGCCCAAAGAATTGCATGTATAAATTTTTAATTTGATCCTCTTGATTTTACATTGATGAGGTAACATTACTCATAAAGAAAACCTGTTTATTGCTGCTCTGATAGGGACCTTTTGGACTGGTGCTCCAACACTTAACTTATTGTAAGGCTAATTCAAAAACCCATTAGGCTAGAAGACAAGATAAATGTAGAGAAGAGAAAAATAGAGTGGAAGGCCAAATATAATGTATGAGCTTCATTTTTAGAATGAAAGCCCACAAAGTTTGTAAGCAAAGAAGACATGGTCGTCTTTAGCGAATTATGTTAGAAAATTTACCATTTCTTTGTCCACCTCCAAAGAAATTGAGGGTAACTTCGCGGGGATTAAGTGATAAGGACGCAGGACGTCAATGGTACAGGGATGTCAATGGTACAGGGCGCTAGAATACAGTATCCGCCCGCCCGCCCGCCCCGTGGAACGGGCAGGCACACGTGACCCAATCAAGCCCGAATTATGGGCCTGGCAGTTTCAGCTGCAGCTACAAAAACGTGGGTACTCAGAAACCGAGGATTCCATCACCGGCTCCGAGATTACCCTCACACTTCTCGCTTTTCTAGAACTGCCGCTCTAATAGCCTCGGTACCCTTCCTACGCAGACCAGCAATTCTGGGCTCAGGTCCCGCCCGTTCGTAGTGGCGGCTTGTCGATGACGTCACTTCCGTTTCCGGGGCGACCGCTTTTTCGCTGTCCAGAGCCTCTCTAGGCTACCACTTCGTGGGCTGATCTCAAAACTCAGTGGTCCGGGGGCGGGGCCGTGACGTCTTTGGCGTGGTTTGCGAGGGAGGCCGCGGCGGGGAAAATGGCGGACGGGAAGGCGGGAGAGGAGAAGCCTGAAAAGCCGCAGCGAACTGGAGCCCCCGGAGGTGAACACAACCCCAGCGTCGCGGGCTGCGGGGGATTCTCCGGGCCTTTCTTTGAGCTCCCCGGGGTGGGGGGTGGGGAGTCAGATAGAACAAGAGCGGGCGGACATGGCGTTCACCCGACTAGCTGCGGGCCCCGCGGCGCCCCGGGCACGCCCGGTGCGGCCCGCTGGGAGCCAGGCCCGCAGTCGCCTTCTTGTCGGAGGACAGGGGCGCTCTGGCCTGTTCACCTCCAGGCCTCTGAGGAGAAGGGATGGGGCGCCAGAAAGGGAGACGAAGTCGGGGTGGGACCGGGAGTGGCGGCGTAGGGACCGCTAACGCCACCCCGGTGACGAACACGCATAAAATACACGCCCTGGACCTGGTCCTCACGCCGCCACGCACACAGTGACACGGCCACGCGCGAGGAACCACCTAGTAGTAGCCGCGGGCGCTGGCGGAAGGCCGAGTTTCCGAAGTGCGGGCCTCTCGGTTACACGTAGGAGGTAATTAGGCCGGACGCTCCCTCCTGGCCGCGGCTGCGGCGAACCCAGCCCCCCCCCCCCCCCCCCCCCCGCGGCCTTTCTTTTTAAGCGGGGGTCGGCACGGGACGGAGGGCCCCACGACTGCCAGCTAGGGGTCGAGGCTCAGGGTCTGAGGGCCTTTCTTTGAAGTAATGGCCTTTTCTTAGGTTGCTACCAGCTGACCGGCAATTTAGGTGGCTTAATGGGCTGGTGTGACTTCCCATATATTTTTTTTAAACCGCATTGAGCTCAGGTTACAGATTGTCTTTATTCTGCGCCCCCCTCCCCACCCCCATCTCCCATCACCTTAAACTTTGGGTCTTAACGCATGCAGGAAAAGAAACATGTAATCTCCCCAACTCCCTCCTCTTGCCCCTTTGTCATAAGGAGACAAGTGACTTTAACACGAGCCAGCTGATCGTGTCTAGTTTAGAACATCTTAATATCATTCTCTGTTCTGACTCCCTTAGACTTGTCCCTGAAAGGATTTAGTAATAGAAAATATGGACGATTAATAGCACATTAAATAGTAGGACCTAGTAATAGCGTTTTAATAAGAATTTTCATGGCAACAAAAATTGAACAGATAAGGGAAGTGAGTTTTTCAATATGTATGGTACTCCTTTCTCCTTTGATTAAACTAGTAAAATAGATTATGAAAACAGTTTTAAACATCTAATACTTATTTTGAGGTTTTTCTCCCCACCAAAAAAAATTTTGCCTTAAAAATTGTAAAAAAAAAAATCATATAGAAACCTCGAAGTAATTTGAGGTAAGACAAAGATCTGTAGCTTATAGAATCCTATATGGATTTGATTTCATGGTCGTCTTTTTAACTCCCTCAACTTAGAATGGCAAAGATGTTAATGTGTTGGCAAATGTACATTGATGTGTCAGCATAAATCCACCATATATTTTTACCTGCCACCCTTTTAGTTGAGAAGTGTTAGTTCTATAGCTTGAATAGTAATGTTTCTATTTTACTATTTAGTAGAGGTTGTATAAATTGGTAGAGAAATTAAGGTCTTTCTGTTGGTAATTTAGAATGACAAAAATCCCTTAATTTCTACATAATTAACTTGTTTCTGTTGTAAAGAAACTAGTGCTGTTTCATGTAACCCATTCTGAATGTAAGTTTTGGATTTCGTTTGAGTGTTTTGGCAGTAGAGGGGAGCCTGCTTCCTAGTTAGGAACTCTACCACTTAAGTCACACCTCTAGCCCTTTTTACTCTTACACTTTTTCCCTCCCAGCTAACATAACCTATTTTCACTTTGCCTGTGGATGAGATGACAGATATACATCACCGTGACCAGTTATTTATTGGTTAAAATGTGGTCTCAGAAACTTTTTGCCTAAACTAGCCTTGAACTATGATCATCTGGATCTTAGCCTCCCAGGTAGCTAAGATTACAGATGTAAAGCACCATGCCTGGCATGTGTCAGCTATTTTTAATGAAATTGTGCATTGTTGAGACATTTGATGCCATGGATGTCCCTAATTGATAGGTTAGTGGCAAACAGTCAAAAAAAAAAGAAAGGATAGTCATGTTGGTCTACTACTTGCTTACCTAGAGACTTCTGATTTTTGTTTTCCTGTTGAACAATTTAAGTTGCAAATATAAATTGCTTATTTTGACTTTTATTGGTACTAGAGATTGAACTCAGGGCCTTATATATGCTAAGAGCTGTTCTACCCTGAGCTATACCTCTAGCCTTAAAAATAGGTTTTCTGTTGTTTTTTTTTTTAGTGAGTAGATTACTTCCATTGTTAAATTTTATATATGTTTATGAGAGAAGCTGCTTAAACTGTATTTTCACTTAACAGAGTAAGTAAGGCTTTGAGTAGATTTTTGTCTCTTTGGATAAATTTATGAGATTAAACAAATTTTGGAGAAGAGCTGTTTATATATAATCATAGCCATTTTAAGCTTTTAAAGGTTATACTAAGAATTACTTCAATTACATGGATATTTTCTGTGCCAGAAGCAAGTAGATTCTTGAATATATTCAGCTTTCAGCTGCACACTAGTGTTGGTAGTTCTTTGCCTCCTCCCCTTTATTTAAATTTTCAGATAAGCTAGCTTCCAGAATGCAAATGAGTCACTGAAGAGTACTATTATGGATTTCACACTTTCTTTTTAGGTAATTTTCACAGATCTAGCTGTCATATCTTCCCATCTTAGTCTTTTGTTTATCCCACTTGCCTTCTGAAATGTTTTGTGCACTTTGCTACATAATTATAAAAAATTATAGATGGAAAAAAAAGCATAAACCTTATGGCACACTAAGATATGATAACTGTGCATCCACCTTTGTTCCCTCCTTATGCCCTCCTATTTTTGTTGAAAATTAGATCTGATTTTAAAGTTGCTTTGCAAATCTTAACAACAACAAAAAAAAAGCAAAGCCATTTTTTTTCCTATGACCAAAAATAAATTGCTGGCTAGATCTGAAATCATTGATGTGTAAAAATGACCTAATAAGCATGTCATCATCTGTGTGGACCTGGGTGTGGGTAAGTCTGTAGTTTGCCTCTTCCAGTGATAAGAATAAAAATGAGTTTCTGCCGGGCGCTGGTGGCTCACGCCTGTAATCCTAGCTACTCTGGAGGCTGAGATCTGAGGATCGCGGTTCAAAGCCAGCCCGGGCAGGAAAGACTGTGAGACTCCTGTCTCCAATAAACCACCAGAAAACCGGAAGTGGCGCTGTAGCTCAAGAGGTAGAGTGCTCGCCTTGAGCTGAAGAGCTGAAGGACAGCGCCCAGGCCCAGAGTTCAAGCCCCACGACCGACCAAAAAAAAAAAAAGAGTTTCTGCCAGTTGATTACAGATGATTTCTAGAATAATTCTGCCATTTCCCTTTTCTTGATACTTTTTTCTTTAGCAATCTCTAGAGAAATCTTACTTGTAGCATAATAGGATTAGATAAAATAATACTGCATTCTATTTATTAGTATATATAGGTTCAGCTAGTTGTTACACTTAATGTCATTAATATATAATTATAGTAAGATTTTTTTCATTTATGCTGCTTCTATTTTTCTAATGTTATAATTCAGACGAAATAGCCTTTAAAAAAACTGGAAATCTTACCCATTTATTACCCATGGGTCATTGTTCAAAGAGGAGAGTTACTCTACAATCAAGTCTTTTTTCTATTTGTTTTGATGTTTTTTAGTTTTTGTTTGCACAAATGTGCTATGCATGTACATACGGACTGTTTCTTTATGTAAGGCCAATTCATTTTCTCTATGTCCTTATATGTACAGCCAGTGAATTTGCAGTTTTAACTGTGTCATCAGAAAGTATTTATTGTTTTGGTATTACTATTATATAGTATGCTTTGTTAAAACAATAGAATGCAGGGGAAAATCAACATTTTTTTTCACCCCTTTTATACAGGATCTCTTACATATCCTAGGATGGCTTAAACTCCAAGCCTCCTGCCTCTGCCTCCCTAATGCCAAGTTAAAGGCTAGTGCTGCCACCACCACCTGGCAGTAAATTCTAAGTTAGAAATTTAGACTATGAAAAACTTTGCGTAATACTCTTTGTTTTTGTTGAAGAAAATGTCTATTTCTTAAATTGGGTTCTACTTTTATCTATTAATTGCATTTCCAATTTTAATTCTTCTGGTGCTTTTGCAATTTTACTTAGAGTAAATAAACAGCATCTCAAGCAACTATTTCATGATAGCTCTTGGGGGGGAAAAAGACAAAACTTGGGGCTGGGAAGGTGGCTCAGTGGTAGAGCGCTTGCCTTGCATGCATGAGGCCCTGGGTTCGATTCCTCAGCACCACATAAGCAAAAAGAAAAAAAAAGCCGGAAGTGGCGCTGTGGCTCAAGTGGTAGAACATTAGCCTTGAGCTGAAAAGCTGAGGGACAGCGCCCAGGCCCAGAGTTCAGGCCCCACGACTGGACCAAAAAAAAAAAAAAAACTTAATCCTGTTTAATTCCCTCCCCTATGCTGTTATTATAGCATTCATCCCTTGTCTAAAGAGGATAGTTTGTTTTTTGTTTAAGCAAAATCAACTGTTAAGTCAAAGTACATATATTGCTGGGCAATAGTGGGGGCACATTGTAATTTTCAGGAGGCGGAAACAGGAGGATCACAAGTTAAATGACCAGTCTAGGCTACCTAGCAAGACCCTGTCTCAAAACCTAAGAGACAGAAGGGGAGCAGACAGCTGGGGTAGAGAGCATTTCTAGCATGATAAGAGCATATTTTTAATCCCCAGAACCACAAGTGCCTCTTAATCTAGTGATACTATCATTCCAAAATTTTACAGATCTAGATTACAATGGGTCTTTTAATCCTTTGCCTTTGTGTTGATGTTGGGGTTTTTGTTTTTCCTCTTTCTAGTCTAGCTTTTAGTCTCGTTTTCTTACCTATTCTTAGGGTCATCCCATTGAGTACCTTCTCTTCAAAAGTAAACTCTTGGGGTTAGAGGTGTGACTCAGTTGGTAGAGCACTAGCCAGTAAGCAATAGCAGCAGGTAACAAGTTTGAGTCCCAGTCTCAGACCTTAGGGGAAAAAAAAGAAGGGAAAGGAAAACAAAAGTAAACTGTTGTAATAGAATATTTTCTTTAGGATGACTTAGACAATTAAGGAAAGAAAATAAAATTACTAATGCTTAGCCAGTGTTCTGTCTTACCAACCAGCGTGTTCTTAGTTTTAATATTATAGACACATTCAGAATATGACCTCTCCACTGACTTAATGCAAATGCAAGCAAAGTTACTGAGACGTATTGCTCTCCTTACCCGATCCTTTAGGTTGTATGTACGAGAGGGACACATTACTTGAGAAAATATTAACACTATAGTTTGGGTGATAATGATTCTGTTCATTGCTAGGAGTTTTACATAACTAGTACTACATTATTGAGAATATTAGGTATTTAGCAGAATGTATTACTTGCCACATGATTGTTCACACACTACTTTGTAGAATATAGTTTACATAATCTTGATTTCTAAAAAGTGAAATGCCACAAATAACGAGATTGTCAACTTATAAGAACGTTTGGTTGAAGGGTCTTACTTTTTGTGAACTCTGTGTTTATAATTTAAATTGCTCTGTATTTTATGCTAGTTAATTCATGGGAACCTCTTCTACTGCCACACAATCTCAGTTCCTGCTATATACTCTAACAGTGGAAGAGACTGTTGGGTCAGTAGGTGACAACTGCAGAGGTATCTTCCTTATAACGATGCTTTTTGAGGTTGCTGCTCCCATCAATCTGCTCAGTAAAAATAGCTCATCTTGGTAAGTTGTTTCGACTTCACCAGGACCTGAAGAAGAAGCAGAAAAACCTGTGAAAACTAAGACTGTTTCTTCCAGTAATGGAGGGGAAAGTTCCAGTCGCAGCGCTGAGAAGCGATCAGCTGAAGAAGAAGCTGCAGACCTCCCAACAAAACCTACAAAGATCTCCAAGTTTGGATTTGCCATAGGTAGTCAGACGACAAAGAAAGCATCAGCCATATCTATCAAACTTGGATCAACTGTGAGTTGTTATTTTATGTATGACGTTTATAATGCAATATTTGCTTTGGAAATTGAGTTTTGCTAGGTTATAGTAAAAAAAGTATAAAAAGTTAGGTTGCTTGTTCTTTAATGTAGAAATTTACATGTAATTATTTAAGAAGTGATCATCTGGTTTAGGGAAGATCTACAAGAATTATATCAGTAAAGCTGTTTAAGGAAAAAGATTTAGAATATTAGAATCAATGCAAGGCAAGCGCTCTACCACTGAGCCAACTTCCCAGCCCAGAATATGTGATTTATAAAGTAACAATTTTTCTCAAGCAGAATCTCAAAATTATTTTGTGAAATAATTTGTATTTAATCTCGCTATCAATAATATTAAGAATATATAACTACCACCACACACAAAATGATAACAATATCTCCAGAAAATGGTTGTTTATAACTTAAAAGATCAGTATTGGAATATATTACATGATAAAGAGATTCCTGATTTTAGAACTACAAATGAAAATTGAGTACTATGAACATTGGAGGGGCAGGAGGATTGAACCATTCACTTCCCATCACAGCCCTGGCAAGTAGCTAGGAATGAGCCCCCAGCGCCCAGCTCTGTGAACTTATTTTGTGTTTGTGTGCTGGTCTGGGGCTGAATGCTGTCACTGAGCTTTTTTTTTTTTTTTTTGGGTCCGGTCGTGGGGCCTGAACTCTGGGCCTGGGCACTGTCCCTGAGCTCTTCAGCTCAAGGCTAGCACTCTACCACTTGAGCCACAGCGCCACTTCCAGCTTTTTTTTTTTTTCTTTTCGCTTATGTGGTGCTGAGGAATCGAACCCAGGGCCTCATGCATGCAAGGCAAGCGCTCTACCACTGAGCCACCTTCCCAGCCCCTGTCACTGAGCTTTTATCTCAAGGCTAGCACTCTATCATTTGAGTCACATCTCTACTTCTGGCTTTTTAGTGGTTAATTGGAGATCACAGTCTCCTGAACTTTACTTTCCTGGGCTGGCTTGCAACTGCAATCCTAGATCTCAGCCTCCTGTAGTAGCTAGGATTACAGGTGTGGCCACCAGTGCCTGGCTTTAAGTTAACTTGGATTTCTTGTTTTATGGTATATTTACCATGAGCCATATAACAGTGAAACCTTTGAAAGTATTCAACTTTAGTATATTCATTGATGCTTATTAACCATAGAGCTTCTCGAAGTATCTGAAATACTGTTAAAGTTTATGAAGTTGTGGATATTTGTTTCTAACCTACATTGTGACAATTTGACATAATACCAAACATACTTTATTTAAAAAATACTTGATAATTTTTTATTATTGGCATCGGGAAATGATTATAGTTTATTAGAAAAGCCCTAAAATTGCTTTTGAGTTGTTTATTCATGTGTGTTGTGTAAGATTTAGACCAGGAGTGGATGGCTCATGTCTGTAATTTTAGCTACTCAGGAGGCTGAAATCTGAGGATTGTGGTTCAAAATCAGGCTGGGAATAGTAAGATTATTATCTTCAGATATCCAGCAAAAAGCTGGAAGTAGAGCTGACTCAAGTGATGAGCAGTAACCTTAATTGAAAATTTTAAGAGATAGTACTTTGTCCCAGAGTTTAAGCTCCTATACTGGTACAAAAAACTAAAAAAAGGGATTAGATTGAACAAAAAACATTGCACTTGTATTATAATAATATTTTCCTGTGTTTCTGTATTCTGACTTAAATTTTTGTATTGAAAGTATAAGTCAGCTGATACTTTATATAATGCTGTTATTTATATATATGTATATATAATTGTATAGACTAGCATAAATATTTAATTTTTTGATAACATAATAAATGTATACTCTCTGGTCTAATCCCCTTGATAATGATCTTCCTGCATAGAAACTTGTCCTTGAATCCAAATCACTACTTTTTCTGAATTGTTGACATTGATTACTGATCATTTGAAGCGGAAGGTAAAACTTCCTAAGTCTAGAAAACAAAAGTCTGTTTTTACGAAGTAAACTTTAATCTTCTTGAAGTGTAGGATATGAAAAAGATAGTTGAAAGTATTATTGGTTATACGATGTGAAATACATGTATCAACCAATTTTTATCTGTGTCTTATATTGTATCTATAACATTAGATACTTGACAGCTTTAAAAGAGAAAAGGGTATTTTTTAAGTCATTATTCATGCTGTCCAAGTTAATATTTGTGTGTGTGTGTGTGTGTGTGTGTGTGTGTGTGTGTGTGTGTGTGTGTGTGTGTGTGTGTACGTGTGTGTACACGCGCATGCGTGCACCGTCATGCCAATCTTGGAGCTTGAACTTAGTGCCTGGGCCCGGTCCCTCCATTTCTTTGCTCAAGACTAGTGCTCTGCCTCCAGAGGCAGAAGTCTACTTCTCTACCTTTTTTTGGGGGGGGGGGTGGTGGTGGTAATTTATTGTAAATAAGAGTTTCCCAGACTTCCTTGCCTGGTTTGATTCTCAGATCTCAGTTCCTGAGTAGCTAGGTATGAGCCATTTCACCTGGCTCAAATTAACATTTTTTTATTCCTTTAAAAAGAGAGAAGTAGGGAGGAAGAGGGAATGAGAGAAAGAGAGAGAGATATCTGTTTTAACAGGTCAAAAGATTTTTTTTTTTCTTTTTTGTCAGTTGTGGAGCCTGAACTCTGGGCCTGGGTGCTGTCCCTCAGCTCTTCAGCTGAAGGCTAGTACTCTACCCCTCGAGCCACAGCACCACTTCCAGCTTTTTCTGCTTATGTGGTGCTGAGTAATAGAACCCAGGGCCTCATGCATGCAAGGCAAGCACTTTACCATTGAGCCACCTTCCCAGCCCTAGGTCAAAAGATTTTATTGGTGAACTGATACTGTTAGATATTACTAGAGGTAGGAACAAAAAACATTTCATATAACTGCAAGGAGTTTCAAACAAAGTTTAGATTTGAGGTCATAAGACCATATTACATAATATAATTTTTTTTCTTTAGGAATAATGTGTTTTATTATTCAAGAAATATACAAGAAATTTTATTAGCACACAGTGGTTGTAAAATGGGTTTTTGTTCTCATATTTCCATACATGCCTGCAATATGGCCTGATCCATTTACTCCCTCCTCCCATTCTTTATTCCTTTCCCTCCGCCTTTTATTTTGTCCATCATGGTGCTCGAACTCTGGGCCTGGGCACTGTCCCTGTGCTCTTCAGCTCAAGGCAAGTGCTCTACCACTTGAGCCACAGCGCCACTTCCGGTTTTCTAGTTGTTTATTGGAGATAAGTCTCAGGGAGGTTCCTGCCCAGGCTGGCTTTGAACCACAATCCCCAGATCTCAGCCTCCTGAGTAGCTAGGATTACAGGCGTGAGCCACCGGTGCCCAGCTTTCATTGTTCTATTTTCATACATGCAGATAAACTACTTAAGCCATATTCTTCCTCATTCAGCCTTTCTTAGAAAGCCTCCTGTCCTTCCTCTGCTAGTATCCATTAAAATATGTAAGTTAGGGGCTGGGAAGGTGGCTCAGTGGTAGAGCGCTTGCCTTGCATGCTCGAGGCCCTGGGTTCGATTCCTCAGCACAACATAAGCAAAAAGAAAAAAGCCGGAAGTGGCGCTGTGACTCAAGTGGTAGAGTGCTAGCCTTGAGCTGAAGAGCTGAGGGACAGCGCCCAGGCCCAGAGTTCAGGCCCCACAACCGGACCTAAAAAAGAAAAGAAAAAAAAAGATGTAAGTTAAAAAAAAAATTAGGTGTTAAGGAAGCCTTGGAATCATTGTAGTGGATCTGGAAATTTAAGTACATTTGCATCTTAACAGCATCACTCCTCCTCCTCCCACCTTCTCTGGGAATTGAACCAAAGCCTCATGTTTATTTGCCAGATAAGCACTCAAGCATGTTTGACAAGCATGGCAGGCAAACAGGTTCATACTCCAGGTCAGTACCCTCAGCGCTGGGAATGGTGTCCATAGCAGTAGTCCAGTCAAGTAATACTAGGAGCTTTAGCTTTGTAATATACAATAAAAGGAGGAGAGTTAATTTATTCAGTATAGATCTGATCAGTAGATCTTAAAAGTTCAAGGAAAAGTTTTCTGGCTTGATTATTTATGCATGATAGAGTACCCATGGGGACTCTTAAGGGGGCTGTCCAGTAGACAAATGACAGCTTGTTTGAGGTAACCAGAGAACTTGTTGAAAACACAGATGGCTCACACCTTTAATCCAAGCTACAGGAGGCTGAGGTCAGACAATCATGATACAAAGCCAATCCAGGCAGGAAAGTCTGCTAGAGTCTTATCTACAATTAACCACCGAAAAGCCAAGTAGACTGGGCTCAAGTGGTAGAGCACCAGCCTTGAGCAAAGAAGCTTAGGACAGTGCCCAGGCCAAGTTCAAGTCTCAGGAACAGCACACACATACACAACACATACACACACACAAACACACCCTTCAAAATGAATAAATTGACTAGAGAAAGAAAGGTCACTAACATTATAGTCCTGGGTGTCTGTATTGTGAATGAGAAGCAACAGAAAAGGGAGACAGAACAGTGTCCTAAAAGCTAAAGAGGGCTATTTTCAGAAAGGAGCCATGACAAAAACCAAGTACAACCCTCTCGTTGTTGGTGACCATATCAAGAATTTCAGCTAAATGTTGAGGATAGAGCCAAAATACAATATAATGTAGGCTAAGTGTGATAGTAAGAACAATTATGGTTGTACAAAGAGATGAAATAGATAAAGCTTGTTTAAAGATCAACTGGGGTAACTAGTAAAGAAAGATAGACTAATGGTGCCTTTTTGTTTTCAAAGTAATTCTAAATTTTAATGTTAGTATGGGAGAGGATTATAGTCATTTTCTCTAAAACCAAGTATCTCTTAGTTAAATTATAGATCCATAGTAATGATTTCTTTTTACAAAAAGGAAACAAGTAGATATAAATTAGGAGCATTTTCAGAGAGAAAATGGATTTGTCCAAAGCACTTAGTTCCTTACCGTGTGTGTGTGTGTGTGTGTGTGTGTGTGTGTGTGTATGTAAATAAAATTAAGGCTTTTAACATCAATTATATTATTAAGCAAGCTTGTACAAATGTTACTTATGTTGTATTTTGTTTAATATGTTACTTCTTCAGAAGCCCAAGGAAACTGTTCCAACTCTTGCTCCAAAAACCCTTTCAGTAGCAGCAGCTTTTAATGAAGATGAAGATGTAAGTTAATACCCATCTTATTTCACTTTAACAAGTCCTTAAGAAAGAGTTAATGGCAAGGTGTAGTTTGTGTTTATGATATTAGTGGAACTTCTTTAACGAACTTCTTGGCAACACCTATAAAAATTGGATGATTTTTTGTTTGATTTTTTGTCAATCGTTGGGCCTGAACTCGGGGCCTGGGTGCTGCGCTGTCCCTCAGCTCAAGGCTCGCGCTCTACCACTTGACCCACAGTGCCACTTCCAGCTGTTTCTGTTTATGTGATGCTGAGGAATCAAACCTAGGGCCTCATGCATGGAAGGCAAGCATTCTTACCACTGAGCCACGTTCCCAGCCCTGATTGTGATTGTTTTGTTATTTACTTTGTTGTAGGTTTATTTAAAATACTGCTTTTCGGCAAGAAGATAAAGAACTAAGTTGACATGTGCTTATTGTGATTAGCAGTTTTAAAAAAGCATGAAAAAATTATTACTGGTACTCTGAAGAATTTTTTTAGTGAGGTTTTCAATGATACATAATGCTTTCCAGTTACAAAAGGCAGCTATAGATGGCTGGTATCCTATATGTAAGAGGAGGTAATTCTGCTTGAACTTAATGCTTCAAAAAACACATTCCAGAGTGAGCGAGAGGTGCTTACCTACTGCCCTGTTAACCCCAGTTCTTCATGTCTCTCTCAGTGCACCTACTTACCACACTAACAAGCAGCCAATTGAATTTCTCAGGTAAAAGTTTGACCATGATTTATTTATTTATTTATTTATTTTTGGTCAGACATAGGGCTTGAACTCTGGGCCTGAGCGCTATCCCTGAGCTTTATTGCTGAAGGCTAGTACTCAACCACTTTGAGCCACAGTACCACTTCCAGTTTTCTGGTGATTAATTGGAGATTAGAATCTCACAGACTTTCCTGCCCCAGATGGCTTTGAGCCATGATCCTCAGCTTTCAGTCTCCTGAACAGCCAGGATTATTTATAGGTGTGAGCCACCAGCACACAGCTTTGACCCTGATATTTGTATTAGGCTTCAACTTCAGAACCTGTCACTTAGGATGTGAACCTGTGGTATAACAATTACATATTAAGGTGTTGCCTGAGTGTTTCCCAAAGGCAAATAAGGATTATACCTTCAGATGAAAACCAACCCCTGAAAGAGTGATTTGAGAAGAACAAAAGAGTAGTAATTAAAGTTAGATACTAAAACAAGGCAGAATTTGAATCCTCCAAGGTCTACTTTTGTAAGCTAACACATAAGTCACAAGTGGCAAGTAGGTAGTAGTAGCATTTGACTTGACTGAAGCGTTTTGTAGAATAATTGGGAAAGAATAAATATGGTTGTCTACATCAAGAGGGAAAGAATTAGTGTGGCTATCACTGCATTGGCAGTGCTGTGGATGAAACTCAGGGCCTCACCATTCTTAAACAGGTGTTGTACACAATTCTGTCCATTCTGTCCATTTGAAAGCACTCTTTATACTAGGCACCCTAACATTATAAGATAGACATGTTTCTATAGGAACTGAGCATGGTAAGTCAGATTTAAGTATAAAATAGAAGGTAAAAATCAAAACTACCTGAGGAAGTGAAGAACTGTGGACATTCACAAAAGGAATAGAGACCAGTCTCTAGATATAGCGACATTGGAAGACTTAAAAGTCCTTCTATTTGCTTTTGAGACCAGGTCCCCCTATGTTCTTTGTTTTAGCTTCCTCAGTGCTGGGATTATAGCACTGTGTTCATTAGAACATGAGAATTGTGTGGGTGTGGGTATGGGTGTGAGTGTGGCAGAATTGGGTGTTGCTAGGTAAGTGCTATGCCACTTGAGGCACATCTGTAGTCTGAGAATATGAGGTTTAAAAAAAGTGTAATTGATGCTTAATTGTATTTATTTATAGTACAGTGTGACATGTTAATATTTGTATACAATGTCTGGTGATCAGGTAAGATTGAATTGGCATCCATCATCTCAAGCATTTGTACTTTCCTTAGGACATTTTAAGTTTTCTTTACTAGCTATTTTTAAATATGCAGTTAATTTTTGCCAACTACTATTGTATTACTATGTGAAGAACATTACATATTCCTTCTATCCAACTGTACCTCTACCTACTGTCATTCTTTCCATCTCCCCTGTGAATTTAATAGGTTTGAGTACATTTTTTTTCAGTTTCTTTATTTTCTTCTTCAGAGTGAGCCAGAGGAAATGCCTCCAGAAGCAAAGATGAGGATGAAGAATATTGGAAGGTATTTTAATTTTTCATAAATATTTGAGATTAATTTAGAACAAGGATAACTTACATATTTTTATTAGTGTTCAGGCTCTTTGAGCTAAACAATTTTTTTTTTTAATTTTCTGTGGTCTACATAGTTAATTAGGATCTTAAAGATGAGAAGGCCCTGCTAGGCACCGGTGGCTCACGCCTGTAATCCTAGCTACTCAGGAGGCTGAGATCTGAGGATCACGGTTCAAAGCCAGCCCAGGCAGGAAAGTCCATGAGACTCTTATCTCCAATAAACCACTAGAAAGCCAGAAGTGGCACTTTGGCCCAAGCGTTAGAGCGCTCGCCTTCAGCTTTTAAGAAGCTGAGGGACAGCGCCCAAGCCCAGAGTTCAAGCCCCACGACCGACCAAAAAAAAAAGATGAGAAGGCCAGGTTCTGGTGGCTAACACCTGTAATCCTGGATATTCAGGAGATTGCTTTTCAAGGATCAAGTTTCCCAAAGCCAGCCCAGTCAGGAAAGTCTGTGAGACATGTTTATGTACAATTAACCAGCAAAAAGACAGAAGAGGAGCTGTGGTTCATGTAGTAGTAGGGAACTAGCCTTGAGCAAAAAAGCTCAGGGACAGTACCCAGTCCTTTAGTTTAAGCACCAAGACCCGCGAGCACACACACACACACACACACACACACACACACACACACACACACACACACACACACACACACACACACACACACACACACACACACACACACACACACACACACACACACACACACGTAAGAACTGGACCACTGGTGAAGAAGAAAATAATAGTGTGCCATCATATGTGAGTGAGCTATCAGTGAACTTTTTTTCTATCCTAGTGGAAGAAAATGAGTGAGTATCTTAAGAACATAACAACTTAAAGCTATCTCATATTGGATATAACCTGTGTTTTTTCAAATAAGACATAGGTATGAGATATGTTCTTGATTTTAAATTGAAATTTACATTTTTTCCTTGTGTAACAGAAAAGTGGCTTTTACTTGCTTTCACTTGTAATGACTTTCCTACTGTTTCCTCTTGATCTTAAGTGTCTAGTACTAAAGAATATTTTCAATTTTCCTTCATTGTTACTGTTGTCATATAAATGGCATTTTTTTTTATAAGTTGCCATGCTTGATTTTCTGTCCGTGTGCATAAATGGATAGCCTCGAAGCTAGTTAAGAAAGCACAACTTGCAGCCAGGTACAGGTGACTCACGCTTGTAATCCTAGCTACTCAGGAGGCTGAGATCTGAAGGATCATGGTTCAAAGCCAGCCTGGGCAGAAAAGTGTCTGAGACTCTGATCTCCAATAAACTACTAGAAAACCGGGAGTGGCACTGTGTATCAAGAAGTAGAGCGCTTGCCTTGAGCTGAAGAGCACAGAGACAGCGCCCAGGCCCTGAGTTCAAGCCCTATGACCAACAAAAAATAGCTCAACTTTACCTCAACACTTTGTGTTCTCATTTCTACCACATATGACCCTCCAAAGAGCAACGTAAGTTCTAAATGTTAGTGTTTATGCACGCATGCGTGCATACCAGTCCTCGGGATTGAACTAGGGCAACTGGACGCTGTTCCTGGGCTTTTTTGCTCAAGGCTTGCATTCTCTACTAATTGAGTCATAGCTCCTCTTCTAGGTTTCTTGGTAGTTAATTGGAGATAAGAGTCTCACCAGCTTTCTTATCTCAAGTTGGCTTTGCATTGCAATTCTCAGACCTCAGCCTCCTGAGTTAGCAAGGATTATAGGTGTGAGCCACCAGATCATTTCTAAGCCTATATATTAGCTTTAGCCTTTAGACTTGGAATCTGTGATTCAAATGGAAATTGTCCCATTGGCCTGCTGTCATCCTTTGATATCAGGACCTAAAGTAAGAAATAGATCTGATATTGATACTCAGTTTAAACCCAGTACTTTTATATACATGGTAATATTTTCATATTTTTCCTGTTTATTTATAAATATTGATGGTAAGCTGCCAAGGTGATTTTATAAACCCAGCTAAAAAGTTTCAGTTACCTAAGTATTTTGTAACAGATTTTGTTTTCTGTAATTCTGGGCCTCGTATGTATTAGGCAAGGGCTCTACAACTGAGCAATACCCCTAGCTCTTGGGCCATGATTTTGCAAACTGTAATTGTTGCTTTGCCTCAGAATTATCTTAAATTTTTGTTAAAACACACTTGGATGGGGGTCTAGCTCAATCTTAAAGAACTTGTCTACTGACCAGTAGAATAGCACATGAGGCCCTGGAATTCTCAGCTTGCAAAAAAAAAAGAAAAGGATTCGCTCTGACTTCTACTTAAATAAGCCCTGGTAGACTGGAACTGTATCCAGTTTGAACTGTATCTGTGGAAAAGATATTTTAAATCTCTGTAGAGACTCCTGGGGTTTAGCTTGTTAGTTTGTAGATGCTAAACTAATGCATATTCATGAATGTAAAATGTTAACCCATTCCTTTTTTAACACAGGGATACACCAACATCAGCTGGACCAAACTCCTTCAATAAAGGAAAGCATGGGTTTTCTGATAACCAGAAGCTATGGGAACGAAATATAAAATCTCATCTGGGAAATGTCCATGACCAAGACAATTAAATGATGTGTTTTGAAATTGGGGCATGGGGTGGGTGTAAAGTTAAAAGGAACAGTTTCCTTTTTTAAAGAATGGTATAAGACTATCTTTGGAGCCACCTTTTTTTCTTTTTTTTCTTTTCTTTTTTTTTTTAAGATTGAGTGGTACACTAATAAATGAGAGTTTGAAATTAGAGGTAATTTATGTTTTATATACAGATTTCAAGACATTTGCTAATTTTGTAGTTTCATGTGATTAATTTCCAAAGGCTACAGATAATAAAGAAATCAGAAATGGTACCTTTTTAAGAATTACATATTTTTTTAGAACCAACTATTAGCACATTAAGAGGGAAGTAAAAGTTATTGTCTATTTAAAACTGCAAATAGTTACTCTCCTAACTTAACTCCCTCATTACCTAAACTGTCTGGCTCCTAGGTACAGCCTTATAGAGAGAGGGAGTAGTACTGAGAGGAAAATGTTACTGGACTATTGACAGAAAGTAAATTTAGATAAAATTAAAACACCATTTTTTCTTTATGGGCATTTTGTTTCAAGTCATCGTATCTAGGTATTGCATTGCTATCAGTGGATACAGTTGCTTACATCTTTAAATTAAAAAAAAAATATGTGAAGTATTGAGCATTTGCTTTAGCCCACTTTAATGTATCTTGTCTACATCAGTCTTCAAACAACCATATGCTACCAAAGTAAATCAGTATTTTGAATGTGTTTCTGTTTAGCTTTTGTTCCTAGTTCCTGTAAGCATTTCCAACAAAACTTGAGCTTGAGGCAAATCATAAGGAAGCTGTTTCTTTTAAAATACAGACCACCACCAAAAACTGAAATGTACATACTGCTCAAATGTTTGGCTGGTTTTTATTTTCTAAAAGATTTAAATACCAAAAATAAGTTTAAGCACTGTATGAGGATAGAAAACAAGAAGACAAACTCTCTGTAACTTTGTCTAAGCCTTTAAGTGACTAACTAGTTACATTCAATCTGAATTGAACTCAATACAGGATTTCTTATTTGCATAATTACATGGTTTCAGTGTATTTATACTGACCCGTGGCCTCAAAAGCACATTTTATTTAGTGAAAATAGAAAGTGCATCTGCGAACACATTTTATGATCTCTCACCACATATACTCTGTTAGAATTGTGTACTGTAGGGTTGTTTGTTTTGTATTTTTGTATTGTATATGGGATTTTTTTTAAGGTGACCGTTAAACATCTTTAAATGCATAGTCACAAACAAAAGAAACATGGTCTAACGATTTCCTAAAAACTGCAATGTTAAATTTGGAGGCAGCTTCAGAAGATACGTCGGTGGTGATTACTTACTGGGCTTTTTTAGTAGGAAGTAACTCCCGAGAAGCAGCCTGTGGATATGCCCAACCCTCTCACATTTAAGTTTAGAATAAGCCCCAAGTCAAACAGTGGAAATGTATATAGCACTATTGGTTCTTCCATGATTTAATTATATCAAGATAAATAAATTTTACTTACTTTTGTGTAGGCAGACTATCCATTTTTGTCCATTTTACTGTTTGTTAAAATAACATCCCTCTCCTGCGTATTCTTTGCTTGACCCCAAATGAAATATTAACCTAAGGTCAAGATGAGGAGAGAGAAATGACTGAAATGAATGTCTTTACTAAAATACCAATAAATTTTGTCAAACTCAATAGTGTTCAGATTTTCTGTTCTACTTAATTATTGCTTGCTGGTTGGGTTTGGTTTTTGTCTGTTGTGTTTGAACTCAGGTCTCACGCCAGATAGGAAGACACTTGAGCCACACACTCTTTTTGCTTTATTTTTTGGTAGGGTCATTTGGTTTTCTGCCTACCAGAATTGGCCTACCATAGTCTAGCATTCCAAGCTTGTTATTGGAGGTTGCTTCAGTAATTTCTAACTGTGGTCCTTTTGGTCTCTCCCCTCTGAGTAACAAATTATAGCTGTGAGCCACCATGCCTGGTCCTGATAATAACCAAGAGTTCTTTGCTTTTGTGTCTTTCAGGAGTGTTCTAAAATTATCTTATTGTGGGTTTACACATTTCTTGTTAAATACTCATTCCAAAGTATTTAATCTTCATTGCTACTGAATGGTGGTTTTTTTTTTGTTTTTTTTCTGTCACTCATGGGGTTTGAACTCATGGCCTGGCACTGCCCCTAAGCAGTTTTGCTCAAGGCTAGCGCTCTACCACTTTGAACCACAGTGCCACTTCCCAGTTTTCTGGTTGTTAATTGGAGGTAAGAGTCTCACAGCCTTTCTGGCCCTGGCTGGCTTTGAACTGTGATCCCCAGATCTCAACTTCCTAAGCAGGTAGGATTACAAGAATGAGCCACCAGCACCTGGCTTTAATGTATTTTCTTTACTATTATATAGTGGTTACTGTTTTTGCTTTAAAGATGAAAAAAATTGAGGGATGGAGCAGCTTCCCTGTGTCAAAGGCAAAGTGAGGTCAAAATTTGAACCTACGTCTTCAGGTTCTAAACTAATGTGGTCCTATAAAAATATTTGACTAATAACACAATTTCAACTTTTCTAATAGCCACGTTGAAAAAGGAAAAAATAACCCAGTGTAACCAAAGTACCCATAGTAAATTATTTCTGTAGAAAATTCTAGTATACTATCATCCTTAAAAATCATTTTATTGGGCTGGGAAGGTGGCTCAGTGGTAGAGTCTTGCCTTGCATGCATGAGGCTCTGGGTTCAATTCCTCAGCACCACGTAAGCAGAGCAAGCCGGAAGTGGTGCTGTGGCTCAAGTGGTAGAGCTCTAGCCTTGAGCAGAAGAAGTTCAGGGACAGTGCCCAGGCCCTGAATTCAAGCCCCAGGACTGGCAAAAGAAAAATAATTCCTATTACATGCTTTCATCAGGAATGTTGAAGGTGCTTTCTGCTTTAACGGAGAGGGAAAGGACATGAGAGCCCTAAGGGGAGAGGGGAGTAGTAGACTATCAACTAGAGGAAGAAATTACCTTAGGGCTGAGGGAGTTAAGACATAGAAACGGTACTGGTGGCTAATTACTCAAGAGGCTGAGATCTGAGGATGGCGGTTCAAAGCCAGTGCAGACAGGAAAGTCCATGAGACTCATCTCCAATTAACCACCAGAAAGCCAGAAGTGGCACTGGCCTGGAACTATGATCCATGCTCAGCTTTACACACTGCACTCAACTTTATTAGTTGATACGGAGTCTCATGAACGGTAATCTATCCATTCACGGCTAAGTAGGAAAATTATATGCATGAACCATCACTACAGGACAAGTGTACAGCTCTTTTATCCTAAATCTTTGGATTTTCTCCCAGTACTATTCAGGAACACTTTATGTGCAGCATATTCATTGAACTATTAATTGGTTATTGTAAGTCAAATGATTTTTGTATGGTCTATAAACCAACAAACTGAAAAATAAAATGAAAAGATAATAGGCATCAGCTGGCTCATGCCTATTATCCTTAGTCTGGAGGTTGAGATCTGAGGATTATGGTTCAAAGTCACCTCAGGAAAGTCCATGAGACTCATCTCCAATTACAAACACACACACACACACAAAGTGAAACTAGCTAAAGCGGTGTAAAGAGCTAGACTTGAGCACAAAAGCTCAGGGACAGCACCCAGACTGAGTTTAAGCCCCAGGACTGTCCCCCCCAAGACCCTAAGAAAGCCCTTTCACAATTTTTTTTAAGGGGTGGGGGCTGGGAAGGTGGCTCAGTGGTAGAGTGCTTGCCTTGCATGTACAAGGCCCGGCGTTTGATTCCTCAGCACCACATAAACAAAAAGCCAAAAGTGGTAATGTGGCTCAAGTGGTAGAGCACTAGCCTTGAGCTGAAAAGTTCAGGCTCCCATGACTGGCAGACATATACACACACGCAAAACATATTCGTGTTCTGCTTTTGGTTTTTTAGGGAGGGTGAAGAAAGGGAGGAGAAGGAACAGATGCAGTCATAGTATTCAGTATACACTATGGAAAATGAACTATGCAACTTGTGGGCAAGGTTAAGAAAATAGGGAAAAACAGCTTAATACTAACAAGTACATTTTCAAAAAAAAATTTTTTTTAATCTCATCACTTAAAAAGTACTATATTGTTGGGCTGGGAAGGTGGCTCAGTGGTAGAGTGCTTGCTTGCCTTGCATGCCTGAGGCCCTGGGTTCGATTCCTCAGCACCACATAAGCAGAAAAAAAAAAAAAAAGTACTATGTTGCTGGGGGCCGGTGGCTCAAGCCTGTAATCCTAACTACTCACGAGGCTGAGATCTGAGGATCGTGGTTCAAAGCCAGCCCAGGCAAGAAAGTCCATGAGACTCATCTCCAATAAAGCACTAGAAAACCGGAAGTGGCGCTATGGCTCAAGCATGCATGTGCCTTGAGCTGAAGAGCGCAGGGACAGTGCCCAAGCCAAGTTCAAGCCCCACACCCAACCAAAAAAAAAAAAAAAAGTACTATGTTGGGGCTGGGAAGGTGGCTCAGTGGTAGAGCGCTTGCCTTGCATGCATGAGGCCCTGGGTACGATTCCTCAGCACCACATAAGCAGAAAAAGCCAGGAAGTGGCGCTGTGGCCAAGTGGTAGAAAGCTAGCCTTGAGCAGACAGCTGAGGGATAGTGCCCAGACCCAGAGTTCAGGCCCTATGACTGACAAAAACAAAAAAGCACTATGTAAATCAACAACAAATAGCCCCCAAATTTAACAGTTTCTGTTGCCCTAAAAAATGATCTAAATTCTTTTGATTAAAATCCATAATATGGTGGCACATAGCCATAACCCCAGCAACTCAGAAGGCTGATGAGGTAGGAAGACCACAATATGAAATGAGACTGGGTTACAATAGCAAGACTGTCTGGGGGGGGGGGGGGGGGGGGGGAACCCACAAAACCATGGTAGAGGACTCATTACTGCTGGTATATACGGGTTGTGTTTAAGTTCTTTTTTTGTTGTTGGGGACTGAACCTACTCTCTGGACATGAACTCTACCACTGAAGCCATTCCACCAACTATTGTTTTAGTTTCTGATATTAAATACATGAAATAAAACTGATCCATGATTCAAAGCTTATGCTTTAAACAAGATTGAACATCTTTTATTTACATATTTCTGACATACATAAATGGGCTTTCACAATTAACTAAATGTAGTAACAATGGTAAAATGGACAAAATACAATTTCAAGTTTTAGTTAGACTGAAAAACTTTTTCACTAACATAGTAAACAATCAGCCATTACAACAGGCTGTATGTAGATTCACTTAGTCAGCCATACAGCTACTGAAACAAAAATTTGCAAATGCAAATATTATGTATGCAAATATAATGCATGCAGCATGGCTATCACATTTATACATAAAGCCATTTTTAAAGTAAACTGGAATAAAAGCATCTTTATATGTACAACAAGGCACATTCTTTTTTTGTGCTTTAGGAATGAATTACATATAATCTGTATATATCTTAATTTTTTATCTTAAGATAGCTTCTAATACCTAAAAGCTTAGTTTTAACAATTATAGCTTCAATGGTAGTTTCCTAGAGAGAAATGTGAGATTTCTCCATGGTTATCTTAAAAGTCAGAAAATTGACTAGCTTAAAGAGGAAGAACTTAAAAATCAAACACATGAATCAATATAATTTAGTTTTAGGTAAATTTTCAAGATTTTTTATTTTGGTAGAAGCATAATCAAGTAGTATCCTATAATGAGGCTGTATTGAAGACTTTTCAATATTCTGAAAATTTTTTGACAATTATATGGTATCCACAGGATGTCCATATTGCTATCCTATTTTTCACCTGCAGTTTTTCGACACAAACATGATACAAAAGATGAAAACATAACCAAATGTAACTGTGCATTCATTAACTTGTTCACTCTTTTCAGCAGAGATTGTTTTAAATTAACAGTCCTATGTTAGAGGAGAAATTTTCCATCAACAGTGTTTAATAAACAGTACTCATTTCTCATGGCCACTTATATGCCTGGAAGAGAAAGCACAGTAAGGCTTTAACAGGAATTTTATGCACTTTAATGGCATTTTAAAAATCAGGTACTCAGTTTATGGGTTCCCCACAAAGATAAATATATTGTTTGAACTTGATTACAACACATAACTCATTAAGTGCTTTAAAACAGAATAAGGAATCCCTGACTCAAAAAGGGTTAAATAAATAGCAAGTTGTAAATCACAGACCTACAAAAAATTAAGTAATAAACCTATGCATCCTATGAAATGCTTTATATTAAAATTTTCTTTTTAATCCACAAGTAGCAACTGAAATCACCGAACTGTATTTTGAGAATAAAACAAAAAAAAAAGCTAACTGGTGTAGCCTTTGAACTCAAAATATATAATAAAATAATGTCAAAATACAAATAAAACTGTACAACTTTAAATTTAGTACAGCCATTTATGAACATTAATTCATAAAAAAACATACCATGATAAACCACTATCAGCAGACAGAATTTTGTTCTCCATTTCTTTACAGTACAGACTTTCTACAGAACTCACTGGCCAAAGGAAATGGCACCAACAGCCCAGAGCATTGACACAGAAACCTTAAAGTGGATAGTCACATGGAGCTGTAAACAAACATTTTGTGAGTTCAGTGTACAAGATGTGTCTTCTTTTTTGCCATCACTATATTCATTCTGCTTCTGAAATATGTGCCACTTCTACTTCGACTGTTTGAATAGCTTCTGCCACTTCCGAAAGCTTCTGTCCTTGCTGCTGTGCCAGAACATAATTAACCACTTGCATAATACTTTGGTCAGAAAGCGTTGATACTGATGGACACTCCTCAGTAGCTGCAACAGCTTCAAGAACTTCCATAGTTTCTCCTGTCACCACCACCGTCTCAAGCTCTTGAGGACCACTGCTTTCTTGTTCCTGCATGTCTGCAGTTAAGATGCTAACAGCATGTTCCACTTGAGTTCCTTGGTTATGAAACTGAAGGGTGTCTTTTTCCAGCATAATTTTGCAAGGCACGTAGTCTCTGTGGAATTTAGTCATATGTTTGCGAAGCGTCCGGGCATCTATGTAGGCTTCACTACACACAGGACACACATAGGGCCGCTCACCTGTGTGTGTTCGCACATGACGTTTTAGAGACCGAGCGTCAGCCCAAGCTACTCCACATGTTAAGCACTCAAAAGGCTTAACTCCTGTCAAAAAAGAAAAGTGTGGAGAGGAAAGATGGGAGAAAACATAATGAACTGCAAGTGTTAAGGTATGCTCAATTTCCAATGTTTTTTTTTTTGGTGGTCGTTCTGGGCTTGGGCGCTGTCCCTCAGCTCTTCAGCTTAAGGCGAGCACTCTACCACTTGAGCCACAGGGCCACTTCCGGTTTTCTAGTGTTTTACTGGAGATAAGAGTCTCGGCGCAAGTCTCCCGATAGACTTTGTCGCCCCGGGTACCCGTGTAACCGGTTCTCAGACACTCAACCCGAACCTTGTGGATCTCGAGGTTGAGTGCACCTGGGAGCCGAGGGCTTGCCCGAATAAACCTCTTGCTGCTTGCATCCGCAAAAAAAAAAAAAAAAAAAAAAAAGAGTCTCGTGGACTTTCCTGCCCAGGCTGGCTTTGAAACGTGATCCTCAGATCTCAGCCTCCTGAGTAGCTAGGATTACAGGCGGGAGCCACAGGCGCCCGGCCCCAATAATGTTTTTAAAGTACAGTACCAGTGCCTGTGCTCTTACACTTTGACTATGGCAATCTTTTTAATCAGCACCTAATGGTTTTCCTTACACAAGCTCTATGCTTCTGGGATGTTGTTAGAAAATTTACATGAAATCCAACGATCACTGTCCCATCTGCATGAAAGCTTCTCTCTCCAGGCAACTTCAATTATATTTCAAATACCAAATATCATTCAAAAATAAGTAAGATAGAATTTACAGACCAGTTTAGTTTCTAGGTTCAACCTCATTTATCCCTTCATGGTTAGGGTAAAGAAGGAAACAGCCTTCCAATTATTATGTCCTCGGTTAAGTATAAACTCTATTATTTAAGTCTTTTCTAAGGCATTAAAGGTAAGCGCCAAAAGCAGCATTGCTGGACTGGCAAGCATTTTATTCAGATATCTATAATGCTAAGTTACCTTCATGGTTGTTCATATGTCTCCTGTACTCTCTCAGCTGAGTAAATTTTCTTCCACACTGTTCACACACCCGCTCCAGGTTTTGCTTTGCCCTTCCTTTCTTTCCATGGGTGGCTTTCTTTACATGCCTTCTAAACAAAGCTTTTTCATAAAATTCTTTGCCACATATATTACACCTAAAATAGGGGAAGGGACCTCAATTATTTTGTCCAACAGTCATTAAGAATGCATTGAAGTACATACACTTCTCAATTAAGTTTACATCCGTCTCAAATTTACTCACCTATAAGGCTCAGTGACAGAATGAGATTTCACATGGGAATACCAATCTTTCTTCCAACTATAGCACTTATCACAAAATTGGCACTGGAATGGCTTCACACCAAGATGCTTGTTCATGTGCTGACGAAGATCTCTAGCTTCAAAGAAACTTTTTTCACATCTACAATGAAATTTAGTTATCTAATTGGATTATCTCTAAAACAATAATAGAAAAACTCAGTATATTCATTTCTAGAACTCTGAAAGATAATCCCAAAGTTAAAGCAAAAGAATTCCCCAGTTTTCCAGTTTTATAAACCTTTTAAGTTCTTTAACCTCTAAAGCACCATGTATAGTGGCCAAAAGTTATTAAAGAGAAAATGCCTGTCCACCTTACCTCATCCTGGTTTTGTTCTCCTATACACACACCCTTCACCACCACCTTCCTTCCCTGTCCCATGTTGGAGGTGAGCAGCTCTTTAACCACAGACCATAGGGATGAAGCCCAAGATTCCCTTGGCCATAGAGACTGACTCAGGGATAGAAAAATAACAATATAATTAGAACGAACCTAAGAACTTTTATAGAGAATAAGAGTAGGTGCTGTCTCAAAGCCTAGTGCTCTATCACTTAAGTCACAGATTTTTGCTGGTTAACTGGAGTCTCATAGACTTTTCTGTCTGGGCTGGCTTTGAACCAGGATCCTCAGAACTCAGCATCCTGAGTAGCTAGGATTACACGTGGCGTGAGCCACTAACACTTGTACTGCCAGAAAATGATCTTTTATGATAATTTGAAGAGGCTAGAGATTAAACCACTGCCATTACCATGTCTATATAATAGAAACGAGTTCATATTAAATGACAGACTTCTAAGCATAAAAAAACTATTTGAGGAGTTTTTATTGTTTTGTTTTGTTTTTTGTCAGTCATGGGGCTTGAACTCTGGGCTTGGGCACTGTCCCTGTGCTCTTCAGCTCAAGGTGAGTGCTCTACCGCTTAAGCCACAGAGCCACTTCCAGTTTTCTAGTGGTTTATTGGAGATAAGAATCTCACCGACTTTCCTGCCCGGCTGGCTTTGAGCTGTTTTTTACTTACAATAAAAAAAATGTACAAGACACTGTTGAAAACAAACTTTACAACTTGGCGGAAGGAGGAAGAGGGAGGAGTTGGGGACAGAAGGGATAACAGGGGAAAAACGAAGAGGAGGTAACAATGCTAAATAGGAAATGTACTCATTACCTACTGTAACCCCTCTGTACAGTACTTTTACAATAAAAACAAAACTAAAATTTAAAAAATGTAACAGCATTGGTGGCTCATGCCTGTAATCCTAGCTACTCAGGAGTTTGAGATCTGAGGGCAGCTGTTCAAAGCCAGCTCTGGCAGAAAAGTCTATGAGACTCTTATCTCCAATTAACTACCAGAAAACCAGAAGTAGCACTGTAGCTCAACGTAGTAGAGCACTAGCCTTGAGCAAAGAATTCAGGGACAGCACCTAGGCCCTGAATTCAAGCACCATAACCCACAAAAATCTTTACAACAACAATAAAAAAAGAAAAGAATTTCATGTCGCTCTGGAAAATAAGTTCAGAGAAAAAGAAATCAGAGTCGGGCACCAGTGGCTCAAGCCTACAATCAGAGATCTAAGGATCACAGTTCAAAGCCATCCTGGGCAGGAAGGTCTGCAAGACTCTCATCTCCAATTAAGCACCAAGAAGTCAGAAACAGAATGGTGACTCAAGTGACACAACGCTATCCTTGAGCAAAAAAACTCAGGAACAGACAGCACCCTGGCCCTGAGTTCAAACTTCAAGACTGACACAAAAAAAGGTTCCCTCTTCCTTCAAGTAATCCCCATCCTCAGCTAAGACAGTTGGAAAATCTTTTTCATTGCTTTAATGAATTTTTTTGTTTAATGAGTCCTATTTCAATAAAAGTATTAAAATAGCCAAAAGCACAGTATAGGCAAAATAACAATGAAGAGCAAGTAAATTGAAATTACATTTTAGTTATTCAAAGATAATTCTTTGTATATTTGTGAAAATGACTTTTAAGTAAACTAAATAAGCAGATAAGTGAAGCACCATTGGCTCATACCTGTAATCTTAGCTACTCAGGAGGCTGAGCTCTAAGGATCGTGGTTCAAAACCAGCCTGAGCAGAAAAGTCAGTGAGACTCCTATCTTCAATAAACTATTCAGAAAAGGCTGGAAGTGGTGCTGTGGTTTAAGTGGTACTAGCCTTGAGTACCAAGAGGCTCAGGGAGAGTGTCCAAGCCCTGAGTTCAAGACCCAGGACCAGCTAAAAAAAGATAATCAAGTTGAATGAACGTTTCCCACATTAAATACTTACTGAGTACAATGATAGCCTCGAACCTCAGGTTTTGGTTGGTGTTTCTTTAAGTGTTTACTGAGTCCGGAACCCCTATGAAAAGACTTCCCACAAACTGAGCAAAAGTACTTGGATTCTCCTGTTTAAAAAAAAAAAAAGAAAGAAAGAAAAAGCAAAAGCATGTCACCAACCTAGCTATCATCCCATCAGCTGTCTATGTCATTATTTTGGAAGTTCATTTATCATGGACCATGGAAATGCAAACACTGGCAAGGAACTTCTGAGAATAGCAAAAGTCGAAATCTCTATTTCCTCCTCAAACAACAGCCGTCTTGCATTGCATAATAAGAGGGATGTTAGTTTTTTCATTGCCATGGCAAATACCTGGAGGGCTGGGTTGCTGAAGCCATGCTTCCACTGTGCATGGCAGCATTAGAAGGGTGGGTGAGGGAGGCTCTGCACGGGAAACAGGCAAAGGAAGCAGTCACACACGAGGACTGCAGGAGGGTGGGCAGCTCCTATTATATCCTCAAGTATGAGCCAGGGGGTCCTGCCCACACTCCAGTCACCTACTTCCCGTCCAGAGCCCATGCCCACCATGTTGCCATGGCTGCGGCAGCACAGCTCCCAGGTATTTGTTATAGCACTGAAAAGGTTAAAACTGGTGCCAGGAATGGGGGGCCACTTTTAACTATTTATCAGAGGTGGTTTATAATCTTTTGCAACTGGCTTATGTGAGGAATTTGGAAAGTTTAGAGCTCTAGGCTAGAGAAGAAGCTGTCGAATGTACTAAGTACAGCTAAATTGGCAATTCTGGTGTGAACGCAGAATAGAATGTGGACTGGACTGTAGACAGCATCGACTACTATTTTTACGTTTCAGAAGAGAGTGAGGACTTTCCGGAATTGGAAAAGAGTCTATAAGTGTCACATTCTAGCAAAAGATTTGTCTACATTTTGTCTGTATCATGAGACTGTAGGTGACTGAGTTTAAAAGTATCAGACCAGCCGGGTGCCAGTGGCTCACGCTTGTTATCCTAGCTACTCAGGAGGCCGAGATCTGAGGATCACAGTTCAAAGCCAGCCCGGGTAGGAAAGACCATGAGACTCCTATCTCCAATAAACCACTAGAAAACCAGAAGTGGAGCTGTAGCTCAAGTGGTAAAGCACTAACCTTGAGCTGAAGAGGTGAGGGACAGCGCCCAGGCCCAGAGTTCAAGCCCCACGACCGACAAAAAAAAAAAAAAAAGTAGCAAACTAGCTGAGATGTGAGGATCACAGTTCAAAGCCAGCCCAGGAAGAAAAGTCCATGAAACTTTTTTTTTTCTGGTTGGTCGTAAAGCTTGAACTCTGGGCCTAGGTGCTTCCGTGAGCTGAAGCTCAAGGCTAGCTTTCTACCACTTGAGCCACAGTACCACTTCCTAGCTTTTTCTGCTTATGTGGTGCTGAGGAATGGAACCCAGGGCCTCAGGCATACAAGGCAAGCACTCTACCCTGAGCCACCTTCCCAGCCGTGAAACTCTTATCTCCAATAAACCACTAGAAAACCAGAAGTGGCCCCATGACTGACACCCCCCCCCCCCAAAAAAAAAGTAGCACACTAATTCATTTGGTAGAAAAACAAAATTTCAAGGCAACACAGTATTTGGATAGTGAATTTTGTTGTGTCCTCTGTGTGTGTGTGTGTATGTGTGCGTGCACGCGCATGCGCGTGCTGTCATTGAACTATTTAGCTCAAGGCTAGCTAGCACTCTACTGCTTGAGCTAGAGTTCCACTTCTGGCTTTTTTGGTGCTTAATTGGAAATACAAATACTGCCCGGATGACTTTTGAACCACAATCCTCAGATCTCAGCCTTTTCGGTAGCTGGGATTACAGGGGTAGCCACTAATGCTTTGCTGTTTCCTATTGGCCAAATTCACAGAGAACTGAAAACAAAAGGCAAAGCACAAAGAAAGATTTAAAAAGTCTGGACAAAAAAGGAAGCCAGGCACCAGTGGCTCATTCCTGTAATCCTAGCTACTCAGTAGGCTAAAATAGGAGGATCATGGTTCAAAGCCAGCCACCCAGGCAAGAAACTCGGTGAGACTCTTCTTTTTGTTGTTGTTGTTGTTGGTTGTGGGGTCTGAACTCTAAGCCTGGACGCTGTCCCTCAGCTCTTCAGCTCAAGGCCATCACTCTACCACTTGAACCACAGCACCACTTCCAGCTTTTTCTGCTTATGTGGTGATGAGGAATCCAACCCAGGCCCTCATGCATGCAAGGGAAGCGCTCTACCACTGAGCCACTTTCCCAGACTCTCGGTGAGACTCTTATCTCCAATAAACCACCAGAAAACCGGTAGTGGTGCTGTGAGCTCAAGCAGTAGAGAGCTCACCTGGAGCTGAAGAGCGCACGGACAGCGCCCAAGCCCAAAGTTCAAGCCCTACAACCAGCCAAACCAAACCAAAAAAAAAAGGACATGAAGTTGGGACTAAAAAAACAAAATCTAGTTGTTAGAAAGACTGGCTCCAATAGTAGGAGGCCACATGTTTTACAGGAGTGCAATAAGATATCTTGAGAGCATCTCGGGAATTGACTAGCCCTAATCTGTCACAGCTGAGGAGTGAAAAGGTTTTTACTCATTTCAAACACTTTGCTTTGAGAAGAGAATGCATCTGACAAAAGCCCTGCTTATACTGGGGCAAATATGGAATTATTTTGTGGTGTTTAGTCATCCAAGTACTGGTTCGACTGCAGCATAATCCAAGAGGGCCTTGCTACTTGCTTGAGTTGACAGCACACCTCTCACTGACCACACAACCTTGGTTTTTAAAAACATGTGAATGTAACAGTTATGGAGCATTAGAGGTTTCAGATTCTCAAGGAAAGCCTGGGAGGCCAGGCAAGATTGATGGGGGTCACAGTCCTCAAGGGGAATCCTTAGGAAGACAATGTGTGAAGCTGTAATTTAAGCCAGAAGATTGAATATAGATACCAGGATATTGGAGATGCCAAGAGCACAGAACATCTGCCAATAAAAGCCACAGGCCCTAAGCAGAGCCAGCTTAAGGTTGCAAACAACAAGGCTTTGGAGAAGAGCTCTCCAAACCATGTGAGAGCTCACATCACACCATGCGCCCCAACAGCCAAATATAGAGCACCGCGGAGCTGTCTCCCCTGCTGTAATTCAGTATTTCTTTGGTTTGATTCCTCCTTTCTATTTTCCTATTCCTGCAAAGGGTATGTCTACTCTTGTGTCATTGTATTTTGGACTTATTTTAACTTGTTTGCTGTTTCTATAGTTGCTGACAGCTAAGTGTTTGTCTTGAGTCTTAGAAGAAACTTTAGGCTTAAACTTCTGAGCAATTATGAGAGTATCTTAAAGGTAGATTGAAATGCATTTTGTACAATGAGCTGAACATACACCTTTGTGGGTAGGGATAGAATGTAATGGTTTGAATATGAAATGTCCCTCATAGGCCCATGGGGATTGGGAAGTGGTTGGATTCTGAGGTCTCTAACCGAATCAACAGATTAATCCTTCGATAGATTGGTAATATGACGGCATTCCTGGAGGCAGTGAAAAATCAGTGAGGCCTACTTGGAGGAAGCAGGTCATGAGCACATGCCCTAAAAGATGCAGGACCGCTGGCCCTTCTCATTCTGTCTGCTTCCAGAAGGTGAGCAGTCTCACCCAACATGCTCCTACTTATCTTGCCTCACTTTAAACCCAAAGCAAAACATAAACTTTTCCTTCTTTTTGTTTAGGTCACAGTGACAAAAAGCTGACCAACGAAGATTTCTTCTGAGAAATATATTCTTAAGCAATTTCATCACTGTACCAACATCACAGTGTGTCTGATCTATGACATCACTGGGAGATATACCCTAATGAGACTACCCTTGTATATGCACATGTAGTCCACTGTGGGATTTGCACCATTATGCAAAGTATGATTGTCCTGGCAAAGGCCAGTTTCCTAAGAATTATATGCTTACACAATCTATGGATTAAATACAAGTTCTACAGTAGGTATCAATCATTCCTTAGCCATTTCTACATTCTTGCTTTACATATGAAGTGAGGTATGTTTGGACTGAAAATTCCCTTAAAATTGTAAGCTGTCTACCACACTGACATTTACATCTGCCTACTATTTAACTTTTTTAAAGCATGACCATTTCATGAAATGATAATTGTTTTGTTTTGGTTTTTTTTTTTTTTTGGTTGGTCGTGGGGTCTGAACTCTGGGGCTGGGCACTGTCCCCCAGCTCTTCAGCTCAAGGCAGCGCTCTACCACTTGAGCCACAGCACCACTTCCAGCTTTTTCTGCTTATGTGGTGCTGTGGAATCAAACCCAGGGCCTCATGCATGCACTCTACCACTGAGCCACCTTCCCAGTCCAATAATTGTTTTTATTGAAACAAAACTGCTTATTCTTGTTATTGATATACACAAGATATTTCAATATACAAATACATGAAAAACAAAACTGTAAGTGAAACTTTAAAATGTGGGGAGGGAAGGGATGGTAGGGGAAAAACAAAGGAGATAATAATGCTCAATAGGAAATGTACTCATTACCTTACTCATGTAAATGTAACCCCTCTGTACAGTATTTTTATAATAAAAATATATATTAAAAAATGAAAAAAAACTTAAAAATGTATAAACTTAGCTTCCTTAAAGAAATCAAATTCAGCTAGGCACCGTGGCTCACCCCTGTAATCCTAGCCACTCTGGAGGCTGAGATCTGAGGATTGTGATTTAAAGCCAGCAGGAGCAGGAAAGTCAGTCAGACTCTTATCTCCAATTAATCCCCAGAAAACAGGAAGTAGTGATGTGGCTTAAAGTGATACAGCACTAGCCTTGAGCAACAAAATGTTCAGAGATAATGCAAGGGCCCTCAGTTTAAGCCCCACGACTCACAAAAAAGGAAAAAATTTATTATTTTTCTCTTTGGATACAGCCAGTAAAGATTTCAAATGGGTTAGCACAAAGTATATAGCACAGGAAATTCAGAGCTGCTGGTATGCAACATTCAAAGTTAACAGAGGTACAAACAAAACCTTTGTAGATTTTAATCAGAACTTCAGTAGCCACTTCTCCCTAACTGGATTCTTCAGCACAAGATGATACAGTATTAATAAAATATGACAGCTTTAGGTTGAATTTCCTTTAGGGTTTAAAAAATGCTAAAATGAAGAAGTAGCAGTGGCACTTACAGGCTGTGTGCATTCACTTTTAGAAGAGGCTTCAAGTATTTCAGTCCTAACAGATGCTTTTTGCAGGCTGGGAACGTGGCTTAGTGGCATAGTGCTTGCCTACCATGTATGAAGGGCCTGGGTTCAATTCCTCAGTACCATATAAACAGAAAAAGCCAGAAGTGGCACTGTGGCTCAACTGTAGAGTGCTAGCTTTGAGCAAAAGAAGGTAAGAGACAGTGCCCAGGCCTTAAGCTCCCCAGACTGGCCAAAAAAAGAAAGAAAAAAAGATGCTTTCTGCATTTGAGATGATAATTATTAAAGTTGGATGAAGGGTATATATAATTTGCCCTGTTCCATTATAATGTATCTATCCTCTTTTTTAGGGGGGAAGGTGTTACTAGGGTATTATTACTCAGGGCCTTGTACTTGCTAGACAGGTGCTCTACCACTTGACTCATATCTTCAGCTGTATTCTATTCTCATATATTAAACAAGATTCAGAAAAAAAATCTGAAGACTCTAATGATTTAAAACCAATACACATTTTCTCCCTCCCCCCCTCTTTTTTTTTGTAGTACTGAGGAATGAACCCAGGGCCTTATTATATACGTTAGGCCAGGATTCTCTTTACTTGAGCTATAACTGACTTCTTGTTTGCTTTTTTTTTAAGATAGGTGCCTGGGATGCCCTTGAACTCTTGATTATCCTGTGTCCAACTTCTGAGTAGCTGGGAGTCTGGTTTGTCAGTCGTGGAGCCTGAACACAAGGACTGGGTGCTGTCCCTGAGTTCTTTTGCTCAAGGCTAGTACTCTACCACTTCAAGCCACAGTCCCACTTCTGGTTTTCTGGTAGTTAACTGGAGATAAATCCCCTGGATTTTCCTCCCCAGTGTGCCTTCGAATCATGATCCTCAGATCTGTCTCCTGAGTAGCTAAGATTATAGGTATGAGCCACTGGCCCTAGCTGAGCAGCTGGGATTATTATTATATGCATCAAAATGCTCAGCTTAGTACACATTTTCCACATGAATATTTCAATACAAATAAGCTCTAAAATTACATTTAAGAACACCTTTAATTCAATGTCTCATTACTAAAAAAACAAAACCTGCATATTATAGGAGTTGGAAGGGGAAAGGGTAAGGGAAAAAGAAAGAGAAAAGATGAGTAATTTTGAAATATATTGCAACTACATAAAGAAATAAGTGAAAACTAAACATATACAACCATCAATATAATTCCTTAACAGCACAATTGATAATAGTAAATGTAAATAGATAAAATAAATTATATACATTTCTTTTTACCTGTGTGAATACTCATATGTTCCTGAAGACTCCGTTTGGTAACAAATGACTTAACACACAGTTCACACTGGAATTGCTTTTGTGACTCATGGAGACTCTGATGTAATTTTAGACCATGTTTATAGATGAATGTTTTTCCACAGACCTAAAATAAAACAGTAGTATTTAAGTCAGTATAATGAAAAGTAGTAAGTATTTCTGAATTAGGACAAAAAATAGACATAATGAACATATATTTATATAAATAATTTTATTTTTATTTTTATTTTTGTCAGTCATGGGGGCTGAACTCTGAGCCTGGGCGCTATCCCTCAGCTCTTCAGCTCAAGGTTGGCGCGCCACAGCCCCACTTCCGGCTTTTTTCTGCTTATGTGGTGCTGAGGAATAGAACCCAGGGCATCATGCATGCAAGGCAAGCACTCTACCACTGAGCCACCTTCCCACCCCATATAAAATAATTTTAAAATAATTGGTTTTAATTTAAAATTATAAGCAAAATGACATTGAAAGTAAAAACCATAAAAAAATCTAGGATTGTAGCTAGCTGATCCCTTTTCTGACTCAGTATTTAATATTGTTGCAATCTTTAAGTCTACGTGACCACCATAAAAGTTCAAACAATAGGGAAATACCTGTGCTATTGTTGTGAGGTTAGTATATAGAATACCTTATGTTATAGAGACATCATGGGCTGGTAATGTGGCTTAATGGTAGAGTGCTTGCCTAGCATGCATGAAGCCCTGGGTTCAATTCCTTAGCACCACATAAACAGAAAAAGCTGGAAATGGTGCTGTGGCTCAAGTGATAGAGTGCTAGCCTTCAGCAGAAAAAAAAAGCTCAAGGACAGTACGCAGGCCCTGAGTTCAAGCCCCAGGGTAAGAGAGAGAGAGAGAGAGAGAAAGAGAGAGAGAGAGAGATCAAAGCTTAATTAAGAACATTCTACTCATTTCTTGCTACATCAAATAGAATAGTTCTTCTGAAATGGCAGTGAAGAGTTATCTATCCCTCCCAATCTACTAGGAAGGTATTTTGCTCAATCAAATAAAAATTTTGTAACAATGTCAAATAGCTGTAAGAATTTACTTGCATACTTTCTATTTCTGTACTTATTTTCCATAGACTACGCATTTGAATATTGTATAGAACACAAAAACCCAACCAGTTCTTACACTTAACTTTTTTTTTTTGTCAGTTGTGGGGCCTGAACTCTGGGCCTGGGTGCTGTCTCTCAGCTCTTCAGCTGTAAACTAGCGCTCTACCACTTGAGCCTCAGCCCCACTTCCGGCTTTTTCTGCTTATGTGGTGCTGAGGAATCGAACCAAGGGCCTCATGCATGCAAGGCAAGCACTCTACCACTGAGCCACCTTCCCAGCACTAACACTTAAATTTTTGAATAAATGATTTTTTTTTTTGGGGGGTGGGGGGTGGGGTCCGGTCATGGGGCCTGAACTCTGGGCCTGGGCGCTGTCCCTCAGCTCTTCAGCTCAAGGCTAGTGCTCTACCACTTGAGCCACAGCGCCACTTCCGGCTTTTTTCTTTTTGCTTATGTGGTGCTGAGGAATTGAACCCAGGGCCTCAGGCATGCAAGGCAAGTGCTCTACCACTGAGCCACCTTCCCAGCACCGAATAAATGATTTTTATCACTTGGTTTCCACAATAATTGTGATAGTAGGGGGAAAAAAGCAGTATGACAGTATGAATATCAGTATGAACAGGGTAAAAGCAGAATAACAGAATAAATAAAACAGATTTGTTGGATCTGGGAAGGTGGCTCAGTGGTAGAGCGCTTGCCTTGCATGCATGAGGCCCTGGGTTCGATTCCTCAGCATCACATAAACAGAAAAGGCCGGAAGTGGCACTGTGGCTCAAGTGGAAGAGCGCTAGCCTTGAGCTGAAGAGCTGAGGAGTTCAAGCCTCAGGACCAACTCCAAAAAAAAGAAATTTGCCCATGAGCTGCTAAAAAGATTCATTCCACTCATTATATATTCTACTCTCACACTAAAAAGCTTGAAACAGAAATACTATGAGTGTTATTGGTAGCCAGGCTCCAGTGGCTCACACTTGTAATCCTAGCTACTCAGGAGGTTGAAATCTGAGGATTGTGGTTCAAAGCCAGGCTGGACAGGAAATCCGTGAGACTCTTATCTCCAATAAACCACCAGGAAAAACAAAAAACAAAAAAACACCAGAAAACTGGAAGTGGCACTATGGCTCATGTGATATAGCACTAGCCTTGAGCTGAAGAGCTGAGGCCCAGTATTCAAGCCCCATGACTGACTTTAAAAAAGCAACTTTCATTGGTTCCAAAAACTGTTTTAAGAGTAACAACGGTGGTCATGATTCTATGCAAGCTACAGGTGCTACTAGAAACTTGTCACTGTGGGCTGGGAAGGTGGCTCAGTGGTAGAGTGCTTGCCTTGCATGCATGAGGCCCTGGGTTTGATTCCTTAGTACCACATAAGCAGAAAAAGCTGGAAGTGGCACTGTGGCTCAAGTGGTAGAGTACTAGCCTTGAGCTGAAGGACAGAACTCAGGCCCAGACCTCAGGCCCCATGACCGACAAAAAAAAAAAAAAGAAGGAAACTTGTCACTGTTCCAAATGGCCCCAGGCTGGCTAATATTTACAGAATTTACCAAGGAATCAGTCGTATTTCCACATCTGGTAACCCTCCATTTTCAATAACAGAGGTGAATATATAACTTAGGCAGGACCTTTTTTGACCAAAATCTAAATGACTGGTTCTTTTCCATTACAGGGTTGTTCTTCTGAAGAATGATTAGGATAATAAATTGGCTTTTCTCACCCTGTAAATCCTCTGGACCTTAACATATTTCACTAACATCCTAAATAGATTTCTTTCAAATTATGATCTGAGAGAACAAATTAAAGAGTACAATAGGGAATCACTCCTTAAAGAGGCAAAAAGCTGAGAACATAAAATTTTCTGACATTTTATAAAAGTGAGTGACTCCTAAATATACATCAACTAGTGCCTTCTTTAAATAGCATGTTAGAATAGAATAGAATGTTATAGCTTTACCTGGCATGCATGTGGCTTTACACCTGTATGTTTTAACATATGTATTCGAAGAGAATACAATTTAGGTAGCGTTCTTCCACATATGGAACAAATAAATTCGCGTTTGGTCCTGCCCTTCTCAGATGATGTTCCTGATGCCTCGTTAGATGTGGAATTGGAGGAGGATGAACTCGGAGCATCTTTTCTGGTATGTCGAATAAGATGTGCACGCAACGAGGCACTATACTGAAACTGTTTTTTACATAACTAAAAGAAAAAGTAAACAAGATTCTATCTAAATATATTTCCATTACAAAGTATTAAGTGAAACCTGACCCAAATTTCAACTTTGTGATTCTGGTTACAATAATTATAATCAACAAACACATATATTATGTAAAAGATGACTATTAGGTGTCCAATCATAAAAATGAAAAAGATAAAATTCTTTACCTTTAAAGAGATTTACAATATAACTATAGAATAAGACCTATCTGAAGAAAATGTGAATTATTTAGGAGGGAGTAATCAGAACAATGAGGAAAGAATGGGTCTGAGTAGTAAAGTAGTAGCAGTGGTGGTGAGTAGTAGAACTGGGAGTACAGGTCAGTGGTAAAGTGCCTGCCTAACAATGTCTGTGGCCTAACAATGTCTGAGGCCTAAGCACCACCAAAATAAAGACTAGGACACAAAACAGAGTCCCTGTATCATTACTAAGAGCTTTAGGTGGAGAAGTATGGGCTAGAGATAGCATAAAGGTTAAGACTGTGAAGGTCCTTGGAAACTATAGTTGCTGGAAATTTGTGAAAGCTTTCATTCTTCTAGACATCAGTTATCTATGTTCATCATCTGCAATATTTCATTTTTAAAAAGTAATAAGCTAGGCACTAGTGGCTCATGCCTGTCATCCTGGCTACTTAGGAGGCTGAAATCTGAAGACTATGGTTTGAAACCAGCCTGAGCAGAAAAGTCCATGAGACTCTTATCTTCAATAAACTACTCAGAAAATCTAGAAGTGGCACTGTGGCTCATGTGGTAGAGTGCTAGCCTTGAGCAAAAAGAAGTGCAGAGATAGAGCCCAGTCCCTGAGTTCAAGTCCCAGAACTGATTTAAAAAAAAAAAAAAGGTAACAAAAAAACTGGTTTCCTGACCAGTTTCCTGACCTACTTTTTCTACCAGAATTAACTTTTTTTTTTTTTTTTTGGTCGTGGGGCTTGAGCTTTGGGCTTGGGCTCTGTCCCTCAGCTCTTAGCTCAAGGCAAGTGCAAGTACTCTACCACTTGAACCACAGCGCCACATCCGCTTTTCTGATGGTTAACTGGAGATAAGAGTCTCACAGACTTTCTTGCCTGGGCTAGCTTTGAACCCTGATCCTCAGATCTCAGCCTCCTGAGTAACTAGGATTACAGGTGTGAGCAACTGGTGCCCAGCTTCTACATTAACAACTAATAAAATGTAATTGGTAGGTAAATGGATGTATTTCTGCCCTGTGTAAGGAATAATGATAAGAAAAAAGAAAAGCCTGTATAAATCCAATATAAAGTTACTTTTTTCACAAATATTTTCAACACACAACTGGATGAATGCATGGGTATAGAATCCAAAGATATAGACAACTGACTCTGTCTGGTTATTTCATAGATGTAATTGTTCTATTCCATTTATCTTTTAGATAAATTATACCTGTGGGGTTTGATTTTTGAAATAAGTTATCAGGCTGGCTACAAACTCAAGATCTTCCTGCCTCAGTCTCCCAAGTGCTAGGATTACAGCTTATACTCCCACATCTGATCTTCGTAGATTTTTTTCTGTACAGTGTACCTTCACTGTGCATAGTTCTCTTCAAAAAAGTTATAGTTTTACCTTTTCACGACAGAAAAGTATCTCTGGTCAAGGAATAACAATTATCTTGACTTTCAAAGTAACTGGTATTACTACCAATTCTTGAACTATTTAGCAGTTCTTCAATACAACTGGACTGACTTGTAGCTTTCTCAACTAAAAACCTCAAAATGAGTCCTGAGAAATTTGCTCAATCACTTACTTCACTTATTTATTAGCGTCCAGGGTCTAGGTCTTTCTATTTCCTGTACCCTCTTATAAATGTGTATTTTTAAAATGATCATTCTCCTGTTGCTTTACCAAGGTATAAAAGAAAGCACAGGTAATTCACTGTATATCTGAGTACAAGGAAATGGCATGTATGAAATAGATGACTCTTACAGCAATATCACAGAAATGAAACAAGACAACAGTGGGAGAAATAACCAACCAGCATACTGTACACTAAATTTACAGTAATGTTGAGTTATTAGTTTTCAGATACTCACCGGACATTTGTAATCTCTAGCTCGTTCATGTTTCAGAGTGTGCATTATAAAAGCATACCGTCTCTGAAACACCATTCCACATTCGCCACATTTGTGGGACGCTTCTTCAGCGTTCTCCTTGGTGTCCCTTTTTGGTTGTTTCATCATTTTCCCTCTTTGAACTAATTTCTGGGCCACCTTGTTAAGAGACGGTAAACACAACCTAAGTTTGGACATTTTCATTTTTTTATGTCATGAGTCATAAACTTCTAATTCCTACTATCGTAGTGATATTGGTACTTCAAACATTAAATTGCTGCCCTGTACCCATCCCATAATTTTTATCATAAACCTAAGTTCATCACTAGGATGCTGTCAACCTAAAGCTGAAATTACAAATGATAACCTTTTGTAAATCATACCTGTTGGACTGCTGACTTAGGAACAGCTTTCCGCTTCTGGAGCTTTTTTTCCATGCCCTTGTGTAGTCGGATATATCCCCCTTCATTAACAGACCGCTGCCGAAGCCTACTTCTATAAGTGTCATCCTCAGGGCCAAGGTCTTGGTTTGCCATTGATGCAACTAGATTTTCATGATCTTTTAAAGGCTGCTCAAGGTTTTGCGTATCATTTGGAATGTCTTCAGCACAGTTATCTTCAGCTGATACATCATTTCCCATATCACTGTCCTCATGAGAGCTACTGATTATATTGTCTTTTGAAAGTATAGGATTTGTATTAGAAACGGTGTCATCTCTGATGTTTGAAGCTTCTAGGTCTGCCTCGTTTTTCATTCCTAAAGCAACAGATTCTATTTCAGGATGGGAGTCAGCTATACTTCCTGCAGATGATATAGTAGCTTCAGCCTCTGAAGAAACCTGGGACTCAGGCTGTTGTCTTACCTCTTCATTCTGCTCAGCTTCTGGCAACTCTCCATTTACTAGTAGTACAATTTCACAACCTCCATGTTCACTAGGTACAGTGTTTGTGGTTCCCTCATTGCTAGCCCCAGGAGGTGCTGTACTTCCATTCTGTGGTGGCAGGTCTTGGGTAGATGCAACTGTTTGTACTTCACCCTTTTTATATACTGTTAGCTGCTTCTCTTCCATTAGTTTATGCACACTTTCACAAATTTCTAAAACTTCTGACATGAAGAGATGACGAGCTAAGATAGCCACATCAGCCATGCTACAGAAGTCAAAACTCAGTACAGAAGTATAGGCAAATTCTAGCAAAGGAAGGAAGCTTGCTTTACAAAAACCTGCATGAAACAAGAAAGGTAGGGACAAAAAAGTTAGTCATAACAAAAACACTGTATAGGAACAACTGATATAGAATTACAAGATAAAAGAAGTGGCAATTATGGCCATTAATTCTATAATTAATTACCCATGAATTTTGCTTTCTGTTCTGGCTGCTTATCAAATGTTGACTAGCTCACTTTTATGAGCTGAATCTCTCAATACCTAATATAGAAAATAATATCAGACTCACTATTTCGAGTTGTTGTAAGGTAGTCATTTTCAAACTTTATTCCTTAGAACCCTGGGGATTCCTCAAATTGCCCTCAAGAAATAGCTGCTGGAGAATGGAGGGTAAAAAAGAACAATGGAGGGGCTGGGAAGGTGGCTCAGTGGTAGAGCGCTTGCATCTAGGGAGGATGGTGAGTAGTCAGGTTTCAACCAACCTCACACTCAGTAAGTGTAGCTATATTGTCTATTTACAGTAAGTAGTCCACTTAATTGAACAGAGTATTCTACAACTAAACATTAAGGAACAAGATTTAATGCAGGGGTCAGTTAACTCTTTCTATAAAGAATGAGATAATGAATACTTCAGGTCACAAAGTGCCTGTCACAACTACTCGGCTCTGAGCTCTGATGTACACAATGGGAACAGGCTGTACAAATTTCTGTGTGAAAAGGGAGAGTAGGGAGAATTGGCCCTTAGGCTATAGTTTGCATATTCTAGATCCCAGGAATAAAATTACCATATTTATGGGGTATTGCATTCTAATTTTATGTAAAATAATAAAGTCAGTTTATTTCTTTTCTATATTCTTAGTGCTTTACTTTCAAAAACCATTTCTAATTCCTAGTAATCATGTAATTTTTAAAAAATGAAGGAAAAAAATTCCACTACAACAGTGATGATTCTTATACTACCTTTACAAATAGACAACTGGCTGGGAAGGTGGCTCAGTGGTAGAGTGGTTGCCTCGCAAGCATGAGGCCTTGGGTTCAATTCCTCAGTACCACATAAGCAGAAAAAGCTGGAAGTGGTGCTGTGGCTCAAGTGGTAGAGCACTAGCCTTGAGCTGAAGAGCTGAGGGACAGTGCCCAGGCCCAGAGTTCAGGCCCCACGACCAACCAAAAAAAAAAAACAACAACAAATAGACAACTAAGAAATGATATAGGAAGCTGGGTGCTGGCGACTCATGCCTGTAACCCTAGCTACACATGAGGTTGAGATCTGAGGATCATGGTTCAACACCAGCCCAAGCAGAAAAGTCAGTGAAATTCTTATCAACCACCAGAAAGCAGTAATTCAAGTGGTAGAAAACTAGCCTTGAGCACAAAATCTAAGGGACATCACCAAGGCCCCGAGTTCAAGTCCTAGGACCAGAATATGAAAGCAGGGGGGAGGGGGGGGTTAGAAGGAGAGAGGGAGAGAAAAGAGAAGAGGAGAGAAAGAAAGAGAGAGTAACAGGAAGAAGAGGAAAGGAAGAAAAAGAGAGAAGGATGGAAAGAAATTGCATAGAGCAAGATATGTAGCACAGTGGTAAAGTAGGTATTCAAGGCCCTGGGTTTAATTCCCATTTACCTCCTACCCCAAAAAAACAAAAAACAAAAAGGAAAACTGTATACTTTCCTAGAGTTTTATTATACAATCCAGGAAATATTCTTATCCCCCACCTTATACTGTTCTGTGTTGAGCTTTTTGTTTGTTTGTTTGTTTGTCGTGGGGCCTGAGCTCTGAGCCTGGGCGCTGCCCCTCAGCTCTTCAGCTCAAGGCTAGTGCTCTACCACTTGAGCCTCAGTGCCACTTCCAGCTTTTTTTTGCTTATGGGTGCTGAGGAATCGAACCTAGGGCCTCAAGCATGCAAGGCAAGCACTCTACCACTGAGCTACCTTCCCAGCTGTGTTGAGCTTTTCTAATATAATTAACTTCCCATTTCACTGAGACCCAACCAAAGCAAGCTTTTATAATCTCTTATTTCTTGCTCTCTAGTTTTGACTCAAAGGATATAGTGTGAGACTTTTATATACAGATAAGAGGATTTACAAATGGATGAATTAAACAGATATACTACATATCAGGATAAAAAACAAGAAAAGAGATCAACATTATCCTCATGGCTAGTTAGGTAATAAAGGACAATCACCAGGCCCCAGTTTCCCTTAAGTAGTTGACAATCAAACAGCCTGAAAGCATGTTAATCCTGGCACAAATTTTAAGACCAAGAAACTGAACATAAGAATACTCCTTTTAAAAATAAACCACATAGGGCTGGGAATGTGGCTTAGTGGTCGAGTGCTTGCCTAGCATGCATGAAGCCCTGGGTTCAATTCCTCAGCACCACATAAACAGAAAAAGCCAGAAGTGGTGCTGTGGCTCAAGTGGTAGAGTGCTGGCCTTGAGCGAAAGAAGCTCAGGGACAGTGCCCAGGCCCAGAGTTCAATCTCCAGGACTGGCAAAAAATAAATAAATACAAAATAAAATAAAAATAAATAAAAAACAAACCACACAACAATGAAATACTGTATTATGGTCTATTACCTAATTTTTATTTATTTATTTTTTTTTGGGGGGGTCAGTTGTGGGCCTGAACTCTGGGCCTGGGCGCTGTCTCTCAGCTCTTCAGCTCAAGGCTAGTGCTCTACCACGTGAGCCACAGTGCCACTCCCGGCTTTTTCTGTGCATGTGGTGCTGAGGAATTGAACCCAGGGCCTCATGCATGCAAAGCAAGCACTCTACCACTGAGCCACCTTCCCAGCCCTACCTAATAAATTTTAACTGTAACAATAAGCCCTGCCCTACAACTAACTACGCTAATTTAAAAAAAAAATCTATCAGCACCCTTTACCTTCCAAGAATGGGAAAATAAAATTTTACAAAATGATGTCAGAATGCGAGTCACAGTAAGTTCCTATTATGAGAGCAGGTATGCATAAATGAGCTTATCTATTTTAAATTTCTAAATTTTCATTTGATAATTCTAAGCCACTAGGTGAATTTAGTGAGTAGGAAAAGGAGAAAGCAAGAGAGAGGAGGAAAAATAAAATAATTATCTGACATTTTCCTCCACTGAAGTTTGGATTCAAGCTCATGCTTACTAAGCAGGTACTCTACCACCAGACCATCCACCCAGCCCTTGCATGGGATACCACAGCCACTCAGTTTCTTCTATTGGGATACAATCTTAAAACCCCTTCTGTCACAGGTAACCCCAAACCATGATCCCCTGTTCTCAGCCTCCCAAGTAGCTAGGGTAACAGCCTTGAGCTACCAGTACTCAGCCAAGTATGTAATTTTTAAATAACATATTCACTTAGCATAGAAATATAGATGCATTTGTAGATTTCTCTCAAAAAGTTCAAATCCCAGAAATACTTCTAGTACAACTGTTTTCTATAGCTCTATCTTAGAAACCATGCTTAAGAAGACCCTTTTTTTGGGGATGGGAAGGTGGCTCAGTGGTAGAGTGCTTGCCTTGCATGCATGAGGCCCTGGGTTCAATTCCCCAGCACCACATAAGCAAAAAGAAAAAAAGCCAGAAGTGGTGCTGTGGCTCAAGTGGTAGAGCGCTAGCCTTGAGCTGAAGAGCTGAGGGACAGCGCCCAGGCCCAGAGTTCAGGCCCCACGACCGGACCCCCCCCCCCCAAAAAAAAAGACCCTTTTTTTGCTTCTTGGGAGTGGAGGTGAACAAAAAAGGGTGCAGAAAGGGAGGGAGGAAGGGTAAACAAATACAATCACAGTATTCAATATACAATATGTAGACAATGAACTACGGAACTTGTGGGCAGGGCAAGAAGGGGAACCTGGGGGAAAGTGAAGGAAGGGGTGTCAATGTCCAAAAAAGAAATGTGCTCATTTCCTGACTTATAAAATGGTAGCTCCCCTGTACATACCTTAACAATAATAATAAAATTGATTTTTAATATATACTTTTATTGTAAAGATACAGAGGGGTTACAGTTACATGAATAATGAGCACATTTTCTATTGAGCACTGTTACCCCCTCCTTTGTTTTTCCCCTACTATCCCTTTCCTCCCCACCTACCCTTCCCCCGCAAGTTGTAAAGTTCATTTTCAACATAGTGTCTTGTACATCTCATTGTTACAATGGATCAACCTGTATCCTTATTTCAGCATTTTGTTATTTCCCTTCCCCTCCCCAAATCAGAAAAATGTATATACAAGATGCAGGGCCCAGAATCAAATACAGTGAAAACAGGGTATTTATACCATGGGGGAAGAACATACAAAAGAAACAAAAAATCCCATAGTATATTATAAGTACATTAAAAACAACAGCAAGAAAGATAAAACCTGGTGTGTCCCTATCTTGGGGTTCACTTCACTTAGCATTATCTTATAAGGTCATATGTACATAGCTTTTGACCTTTTCTGCTTGTCCTAGACATATATACTAGTTATTGCAAATAAGGGTAACCATTTTTTTCCCCTTGGTCCTGGAGCTGTCCCAGGGCCTGGTACTGTCCTTGAGCCTCTCTGTGCTCAAGGCTTGTGCTCTACCACTTGAGCGACAACGCCACTTCGGGCCTTTTCTGTTTATGAGACTGAGGAATCAAACCCAGGGCTTCATGCATGCTAAGTAAGCACTCTTCCACTAAGCCCCATTCCCAGCCCTAAAAATTAAATTTTTTAAAAAAAGGTCCTTTTCAATAGGTAGTAGGTTTCTGTATATGGGCCTCTATCAGCATAAATTCTGTTTAGAAAACAACTCTCTCTTCTAGAGTGTACTTATTAACAAATGGCAGGATTAAAAAAAAAAAAATCTTACCAGAAAGATCCACCACAGCCTCGTGACTGGAAATAGCTCCTTTCTCAATAAAAAGATCTCGAAAATATTCACTATTAGCTGACAAAACAGACTTATGTGCTTTGTACTCTTCTCCTTCAATTAATAAAGTTACATCACAGAACTGGTTGGAAAGTCTCTGCTCATTCAGCTGTTTCAAGACAGCCTGGCAATGTTTTGGAGAAGAACGCTTTACCACTCCTTTCGTATCAACCTGTCAAAATAAAGTTTGATATCAACTGGAAATCTATTCCCTTTTTCCAAGTGAAGAAACAATCTGTTATTCTTTCTTTTACCTGTTGGCTTAAATAAGGCACAATATGTTTGCCTCATTATTTTCTATTTCTTTTTACTGTCAGAAATTTGATGACATATAAAACTAGTATAAACCAATAAACAAAAACACAAAGTAATCAAAAAGTAGCTAACAATCTAGTCAGAGTAATTTTACTTCCTGACCCATGTACTACTCCAGAAAAGTATTGTCTACCAATACCACTATTTCATTACAAAACAAGGGAAATAGGGTAATAAAAAGAGACTTAAGCTGGGTGCTGTGTGGCTAACACCTGTAATCCTAGTTACTCAGAAGGCTGAGATCTGAGGATCACAGACCGAAGCCAGCCCAAGTAGCCAAGTCCATGAAACTTTTTTTTTTTGGCCAGTCCTAGAGCTTAAACTCAGGGCCGGGGTACTGTTCCTAAAGTTCTTTTGCTCGAGACTAGCACTCTACCACTTAAGCCACAGCACCACTTCTGGCTTTATCTGTTTATGTGGTACTGAGGAATTGAACCCAAGGCTTCATGCATGCTAGGCAAGCACTCTAACACTAAGCCACATTCCCAGCACTCTCTGAAACTCTTATCTCAAATTAATCACAGAAAAAGCCCAAAATGGCACTGTAGCTCAAGTGGTAGAGTGCTAGCCTTGAGCAAAAGCAGCTCAGGACCAGTGCCCAGGCTCTGAGTTCAAGCTCCAGGAGTAGCACAAAAAAAAACAACCAAATAAACAGTGAAAGCTGAATGGAAATTGTCACTTACAAATACAAGTTCATGTTTGGATACTGGCTTCTTTTTTGAAGACTTAGGAGCTGTAGTTGGAGGTGAAGTAAAGTTGCTCAGGTCATCCTCTGACTCATTACTTTCTTCTCCAGATTCAAGGTCTAGTCCCAATTCTTCCAACATTTCTGAAGCATCTGATATTGGACGGGAGCGATCTAGTTTCTCCTGGCATTTGCTACACTGTTTTATATAATCTTTGACTTGCTTTAATATACCTGCAGTAAAAATAAAGTTAATACTGTTCCTACTTGAAAACAAAGAATAGATTTAATCTGTGTATATTAATATATGTTCAAGTGACTCTATGTAAACACACCTATGACTGTAGAAAATATAAAGATACTTAAAAATGTAAGATACTAATTTTTATGTATTTATTTATTGTTGGTTATGGGGCTTGAACTCAACTCAGGACCTAGGCACTGTCCTTGAGTTCTTTCAATCAAGGCTCTACCATTTTGAGTCACAGCTCCACTTCCAGTTTTCTGGTGATTAATTGATATATGAGTTTCATGGACTTTCCTGCCCAGGCTAGCTTCGAACCCTGATCCTCATATTTCAGCTTCCTGAGTATTAGGATTACAGGTATGAGCCACCAGTGCCTGGCTAAAAGATATATTTTTACATTTATAAGTATGTGAATAACAGTTTGTTTTCATGCTATGATACCTGGTTTTTGTTGATTTTCAGTTATTCACTTCTCCCATTATAAGACAATTTTATAGGCTTGCCCACTTCCACGTTACAATGTATCCATAAAATAAAACCTATGCTGGTCAGGCTTTGCATTATGTTTTGGTGAAATATGGACCACATATGTGACAAAGATCCTGCATTATAATATACTCTGGGAACATAGTAAGCCATAGCCTTTAGATTCATACAAATACTCAAAAGATTCTCCATTCTTTTGACCTCAGATAAGACCATGCAATTCATTTAGCCAAAGGAACATGAATTGTTTAGTGTCAAGACACAAGTTTTAAGAGGTATTTAGAGTTTCTCATCAGTTCCTTGATCTTTGTGCTCTGTCTCTGTGTCTCTCTCTCCTCTCTCCCTATTTTCCCCCTCCTTTCCTCTCTCTTGGTGCTAGTACTAGGGCTGGAATTCAGAGTTTGTGCACTGTCCCTGAATCTTTTTGCCCACAGCTAGTGCTCTACCACTTGAGCCACAGCTCTACTTCCAGCTTTTTGGGGTTAATTGGAAATAAGTTTAATGGACTTTTTCTATGTGGGCTGGCTTCAAACCCTGATCCTCTGATCTCATCCTCCTAAGTATCCACAACTACAAGAGTGAGCCATCCATCAGCAATTAAACATAGTGTCTCACCCAGGCACCAGTGGTTCATGCCTGTAATCTTGGCTATTTAGAAAGCTGAGATCTAAGGATCTCATTTTTAAGCTAGCCTGTGCCGGAAAGTCCAGGAGACTCTTACCTCAAATTAAACACACACACATACACATACGAAAATAAGCTAGAAATGGAAATATGGCTCAAGTGGTAGAGCACTCTTGAACCAAAAAGCTCAAAGAGGGCTGGGAATGTGGCTTAGTGGTAAGAGGGCCTGCCTTGCACTGGTTCGATTCCTCAGTACCACATAAACAGAAAAAGCCGAAGTACTACTGTGGCTCTAGTGGTAGCCTTGAGCAAAAAGAAGCTCAATGACAGCGCTCAGGCCCTGAGTTCAAGCCCCAAGACTAACAAAAAAGAAAACCAACATCTCAGATGGATGTTCTTTAACCTGACTTGAAGAAGGAGGGGTGGGGGGGAGAGAAATTCTGTAGCCTGTAACAGGCTGCAACCAAAACTTGTAATGAGAATGTAACTTTTTTCCAGAAATTTCTCTTACTGGGGCTGGGAAGGTGGCTCAGTGGTAGAGCGCTTGCCTTGCATGCATGAGGCCCTGGGTTCGATTCCTCAGCACCACATAAGCAAAAAGAAAAAAGCCGGAAGTGGCGCTGTGGCTCAAGTGGTACAGCGCTAGCCTTGAGCTGAAGATCTGAGGGACAGCGCCCAGACCCAGAGTTCAGACCCCACAACCGGACCCAAAAAAAAGAAATTTCTCTTACTATCTACACCAAAAATAATAGCACCAAAAAACTAACAGAATATTTTGTGATGGCATAACCACTGCTTTTAGACAAAAGCAGTTAGATCTTCTGCCAAGGTGCTCCTCTGGTGTTTCTCCTAAAATAACTTCATTAATCAATCGCATTAAGGATGTTCAGCCTAGCCTATAATTTATTTCTTTTTTTTCTGAGTCTATGCTCAGTAAACAACCTTTTATGAGCAACTTGACCTCCAAAGGGCCATAACAGAACCTCGTTGGGAATACATAGAAATGTGTGTTAACAGACCATGAAAATCTTGTCTTCTAGCCGGGCATCAGTGGCTCATGCCTGTAATTCTAGCTACTCAGGAGGCTGAGATCTGAGGATCCCAGTTCAAAGCCAGCCCGGGCAAGAAAGTCTGAAAGACTCTTATCTTCAATAAACTAAGCCTTAGAAGTCATTAAGTGTAATCCAGATATAAATGCCACAAACTCACTGAATCTTGAGTTCATTCCTCAGAACTGCCAAAATAAAACTCTACAGCAAAATACTTTTCCTAAAAATTGTTTTATTAGATGGCTGTTTACTGTAAGTTTCTTTTATCAGAAGTGCTTAGATCCAAGTATTTCTGATTTTTGTTTTTCAAGTTTTGGAATATTCACACATGCATAATGAGAAGTACTAGAGATAAGACAAATCTAGATAAAATTCATTTGTGTTTTATAATGTGCATTATGTTTATGTACATATTTTGAGATAATGTAATATAATATTTTAAGTGTACCTAAGTTTTAACTGATGCTCATAATATTAAGTCACATGTGAAACTCCAAACTGGTGACATCACCTGTGGTATTCAACCTACAAAACATAAAATGTATCATATAACCTCTTCAAAACTTCACTATATTCTTGGGCTGGGAAGGTGGCTCAGTGGTAGAGAGCTTGCCCTGCATGCATGAGACCCTTGGTTTGACTCCTCAGCACCACATAAACAGAAAAAGCCAGAAGTGGCATTGTGGCTCAAGTGGTAGAGTGTTAGCCATGAACTGAAGAGCTGAGGGACAGTGCTCAGACCCAGAATTCAAACCCCACCACCAGGGACAAAAAACAACAACAACAAAACACTTCACTATATTCTTGAGAATAAGAGTTGAAAATGTAAATAAGAAAGCTGGGCTCTTGTGGCTCACATCTGTAAATTCTACCTACTGAGGAGGCTAACATATGAGGACTGCACTTCAAAGGCAGTCTAAGCAGAAAAGTCAATGAGAATCCAACCAGAAAAAAAGCTTGAAGTAGAGGTTTTACAAGTCAAGTGGTAGAGCACTAACTTTAGGGGGGAAAAGCCAAGCACATGGCCTTGAATTCAAGCCCCAGCAATGGCACAAACAGGGAAGAAAAGGTGCCCAAGCTGAAAGAGTACTACAGTCTTAATTTATTCATAAAAGAGGTAACCACTATTCATATATTATTTTCTCAAAATCAGTATACTACAGTCTAATTTATTCATAAATGAGGCAAAGCTGGGCGCTGGTGGCTCACGCCTGTAATCCTAGCTACTCAGGAGGCTGAGATCTGAGGATTCAAAGCCAGCCCGGGCAGGAGAGACAGTGAGACTCCTATCTCCAAGAAACCACCAGAAAACCGGAAGTGGCGCTGTAGCTCAAGTGGTAGAGTGCTAGCCTTGAGCTGAAGAGCTGAGGGACAGGGCCCAGGCTCAGAGTTCAAGCCCCACGACTGACCAAAATAAATAAATAAATAAATAAGGCAAACACTTCATATATTAATTTCTCCAAGCAACATATGAAGATACAGAATCCTTAACAAAGCTATTCATTATTTTTATGTGTATCTGTAAACTGTACCGTTTCAGCATTTATCAAGTTTGCGAAGAAGGATAGCAGTTAAGCCAAGGACACCTGTCTTCTCTTATCCGGGTTCCCAAGAAGTCAAGAAACCATAGAAACTATATTATTTCCTGGTTGTCGAAAAAAGAAACCATAGAAATAAGTATCTTTCCTGGATGTATATAGGGCTTAACATTTCCCAAGGCGCTTGACAGAGTTAGTGGAAGAATTCTAAACATTCAGTTAATCTAAAACCGAGGTCCGAGACAACAAATTACACAATTAGTCTTATCGCTTCCATATCTCAACTACTGCTTACTACAGTCGCAGTAGCGGAATCTGAGATATAAAGGGGAGTAGATGCAAAGAGCCTCAAACTGAGAACGGTGCACCCTGAAAAAAGCAGGTGATCTCGGGGCCAAAAGCCTCAGTACAGTTCTTAAAGCGGCTCCCTGGGCACCGGTGGCTAATGCCTATAATCCAAGCTATTTAGGAGGCTGGGATCCGAGGATAGCTGCTTGAAGCCAGTCAGCGGAGGGAAGTCCGTGAGACCCTCGGATTACTGTTGTTGCTGTTACTATGAAGGTGTTGTACAGAAGGGTTACATAAGTCAGGTAATAAGTACATTTCAGTCCGTGAGACTAACCACTATAAAAGCTAAAAGTGGAACAGCGGCTCACGAGGAAGAGCGCTAGCCTGGAGCAAAAAAGCTCAGGGACCCGGCCGAGGTCCCGAGATCCAGCCACAGACCCCGCACCAAAACAAAACGAAAAACAAACAAACAAACACACCAAATCCCAGGTGGTTCCAGCGAGTTTTCGCTGGCCAAGGTTGGAGGGAGCCCCGGGGGCAGGGCGCCACACCTTGGGCGGATCGGCCGCCTCGGGAGGCGGGGCCCCAAGGACACGCCCCGCCGCAGGCCCGGCCCCCAGGGAAGCCCCTTGGCCCCACCCCGGGCCAGAGTCCGCCCCCAGCCGCCCCGGCCTCCTTCCGTTAGGAAGTGCGGCTCCATTCGCATTCCCGACCCGCTCGGCTCCGCCTGGCAGGCGCTCCGCCGCCGATCGCTAGCGGGCCGGGCGATGGGCGTCGGAGCCCCTCTAGCCTGTCACAGGGGCGCACGCAGGCCTCGCCGGGCCCTCCGCCGCCCGCCCGGCCCCCTCGCCGCGGACTGCGCCTCACCTCGCCACCAGTACGTCTTGGACAAGTCGTGCCAGGTCTGATGTCGAGTGTGGTGGGTGCCGCCGGGGCCCAGGTGCGCCGCCTCGATGAGGCCCTGGCGTCGCTCGGGCTGCAGCACCACCTCCAGCTCCGCGAAGGTCTTGCGATGCCGCTGCCGCCGCTGGTAATACAGAGTCCCGCCGCGCACCACGTAGCAGGCGGCCGCCTTGCGGATCTTCCGCTTGACATTGCCCTCGGTGCCGGGCGCGTAGGGCTCGCGCTCGTTCGTCAGGTAGCGCAGGATGGCCCGGTAGCTCTCCTCGTTTGACATCGCGAACGGCGGCTCCCCGAGGGCGCCTGTCAAGCGGCGCGGCAGGCAGACAGGACGCTAGCTCCGGGCGGGTGCAACGGCAGCAGCGACCATGTACGGAGGAACGTCTCTGCCTTTGGTGAGCGCTCTTCGACCGCGCTCGTCGGCAGCGCCGAGAAAGAACCGACGAGTTAGTTACCAGGGGGAACTGCACTTCTCCAGCGCGCGGGATCCGCGGGCGACTGACAAAATGGCTGCTGCACCACCGGAAGTGACGCGGGACGGGGCGGGGTCTGGTTCCTGATTGGAGCGTTCTGGCGTTCGGCTTTGAGGAAGCCGATGGAGTGACGTCAGTACTGCGGGCGGACATTCTGGAAGCCAGTAGACCTTTCCTCGGAGATCCGCAAGGACTTTTTAGCAGACATCTTAAATCCTGGCAGTTGCCCTCGGGGGTTCCTCTTTTCCCACGGTCTCGGGAGGGCCACGTGCAGGCGCTGGTGACCTGTTGTTGTCCCTTCTGAGAGCCTTGGTGGGTCCTGGTTTTAGGTTCACTTTGTGACCCCTGATACAAAAGCAGGCGGTTGGGAGCTCTGGACCCAAACTAATCCCGTTTACTTGGAAATGTAGGTTCCGGCGGACAAGCGTTTTAAAATGTAAGTGCCTCCATTATAAACCGTTCAATTCATTAACTAAGACCTGCCCTCCCAACTAGCCTAGGGATGGTCAGAATTTTTCTGGAATGATCAGCATGTATTAGTGAATTTATACATGTAAACTACAATGCTACAGCATCCTAAAGGAAGGAGTAAGCTTTCCTTTAAGCCACACTTACATTTACCTCTACTTACAACTGGAGGAGAGCCAGGCGTGGTGGCTCACACCTGTAATCCTAGCTACTCTGGAGGCTGAGATCTGAGGATCGCGGTTCAAAGTCAGCAGGGGCAGGAAAGGCGGTGAGACTCTTATCTCCAATAAACCACTCAGGAAACTGGAAGTGGCGCTGTGGCTCTGGTGGTAGAGCGCTAGCCTTGAGCTGAAGAGCTGAAGGACAACGCCCAGGCCCAGAGTTCAAGCCCCACAACTAAAAGAAAAACAAAAATCTCGAGGTGATCTAACACCCGATGTAAATAAGGGTATTTACATGAGGCCATGCAGAGTTGAATTTGGTTTCACAATGTGCAATAAGTCTTATCCAAGATTTTTAACTCAAGTATGAAGCAGCACATCTGTAGTCCTCAATGCACATGTACTGGGCCTTAAAAGCCCAGGGGCTAATACGATCCTTGATACACACACGGGCAGTTTTGCTAAATCTGGAAAACTCCAGGCTTTCTAGCCCAAGGAGTTTGATTGTAGTTACTTCAGAATTCTCCACCTAGGGTTGCAGACTGGTAGGTTTCTCTGTTATGCCTGGGAACAAGTGAGAACTTGATAGCGGGTTAAGGCCCCATAACAGCTGTCAGACCTAACATCTATTTAAATGCTACTGTCTGCAGATTTTTAGACTGAACTGGACTGGAAGTAGTTAGGTGGAGATGTACTCCTTCATTAGAATAGGGCAGTGAGGGAAGCAGCCCAAACCCAACCTGTACAGGGGCTGGTTGTTCCATATGCTGGGCAGCAGCTTTCTTGTGGCAACCTTTTTTTAAGTTGTGGGGCTTGAACTCAGGTCCTGGGCACCATCCCTGGGCTCTTTTGCTCAAGGCTGGTGCTCTACCACTTGGAGCCACAGCTCCACTTCTGGCTTTCTGGTGGTAAATTGGAGACAGTCTCAGATGACTTGCCAAGGTTGGTTTTGAACTGCAATCCTCAGTTCTTAGCCTCCTGAGTAGCTAGGATTACAGGTGTGTGCCACCAGCACCCAGCTCTTGTGGTAACTTAAAAACATAAGCCAAGGGCTGAGAGTATGGCTGGTAGGCTTCCACAGCCAGCTCAAGGCCATATTCAATCCCAGCAAAAACTGAAATTCAAGTGGACTAGAATGAAAGCAGCAAACGCAAATAGTATTGAAGAAAACCTAAATTATGAAAACATCCAACTCATTTTTGCAAAATAGTTACATGAAAGCATCAAGCTCTCCAATCCTCAGTCTTTTTGACCAATAAATATTGTAACAAATGCTCTCCAAGTGGTCAGTTTTCTTCCCAGCAAAACTAAGCTTTGTTAATTTCCACTCTTCTGGGATACCTGAACAATTACCAGTTCCGTTTCAGACCATTAGCCTAACTCTAAAGGGACATTTCAAGGGGACACTTCACTATGTATAAAATTTGGTATCTACATCTCAGCATTCATTTGAACATTTTGGTTAAGCTTTCCTTATTCAAAGTCAAATTGGCATTCCTTTGGGCGTTGTAATTGGTTAAGCTTTCCTTACTCAAAATCAAACAAACCATTTTCCCTAGTAATCTCATCATTAGCAATTTTCTAAGCAAAATATTTTACCCAACTAAAACTTTAGGAACAATGTCTAAATTGCCACATGCACCATGGGATAAAAAAACCTCTAATCCTAGTAATGATGGATAAAACAGGGATGAAGGAATGTTAGCACTAATGTCATTTCAAAAGGGGTTGTTGGTTTTTCATTGTATCTTTGGCACACCTTACACTAAATTTTCCTTATATCTTACGCATAGTAACTGAGCATTTTTTTTGTCTTGGAGGCTGAACCCTGGGCCTGGGTGCTGTCCCTCAGCTCTTCAGCTCAAGGCTAGTGCCCTACCACCTGAGCCACAGGGCCACTTCTGGCTTTTTTCTACTTATGTGGTGCTAAGGAATCAAACCCAGGGTCTCATGCATTCGAGGCAAGCACTCTATCACTGAGCCAACTTCCCAGCCCAAGTCTGAGCATTTTTTAAATGATTCTGCTCTATAAAACCCCTAGCTCAATTAGTTTTCTGGGATTAAGTACAATATACTACATATGCTCTATACTATGTATGCTCTAGCAGGACATGGCATTACATACCAAGAAACCCAGGACTTAGGAAGCAAAGGCAGAAAACTTAAAATTGCAAGTCAACATAGCTAATATAGCAAGACCTTTTCTCGAAACACAACTCACCAGTGTTCTACATTTAAGCTAATTTCCTGGGATCAAAAGCAGATTAAGCTAGACCCTAAGGGCTCACACCTTTAGTCTTAACTACTCAAGAAGCTGAGATCTGAGGATCATGGTCCAATTTAAAAAGCTTTCAGGTATAGCCACCCTAACCCTGAGTTCAAGCCCGATTACTAACGCAAAAAAATTTCAACTCAGAACCTGGTTGCTTGATCTGAACTTTCACGTTCAAGGTTAGCACTACCACTTAATCATAGCTATACTTTTTTCTGCTTAACTGAAGATAAATATAGCTAAATTTCCTGCCTATTATGGCTTTCAACCACCATCCTCATATCTCAGCTTAGTCTTATCCACAAGTGCCTGGCTAATCAAACATAGATCTTACTTTGTCACTCCAAGAAACTTAAGGGTAGGAGGTCTTGTTACTGAGTAGTAAAATTATTTAATCCTGAACCCAAGGCCTCAGTTTACTCTACCACTGAGTTACATACGCCTCCTCCCAGCCCCAGCTACACTTTTAGAAAATGTCAGTCTTAACTTTATATTTCACCTATTAACCATGTAGGCTCAACATGCTTAAGTGAAAGAATCCAACACAATCTAGAGTTACAGATAGACCTTTATTTCAAAATCTAATCTGTCAAACTAGCGTTTTCCACCAACTCGGGGAGCAGAAACCTTCACAGGCTTCACAATCTTTTGCTTAGGTGCGGCCTTTGTGGGAGCCTGTAAAAAAATAACATGATGTTATGCGACACTGCAAAAGGACACTTTCCACCACCCTATTTTTCCTTTGGTCAGTCACTGAGTTTGAACTCAGGGCCTGGGTACTGTCCCTGAGCATTTTCACTCAAGGCTAACACTCTACCACTTTTGAGCCATGCACCACTTCTGATTTTCTGATAATTTAGTCTCATGGGCTCACTTGCCTAGGCTGGCTTTGAACTGCAATCTTCAGATCTTACCCTCTCAAGTAGCTAGGATTACAGGTGTGAGCCACTAGTGCCCAACTACTACCCTATTTGTGTATTCCAGTTCTGTATGTCCTAGCCTGCATCCATAATTTGCCTATATTTGTAGTAACAGTATTTTCATGGAACTCCCCCCAAACACTACAGAAATTTTCACTTTCACAGAGAAAATTCTGTAAAGACTGACAGAATTATATAAAGGGGAGCTATTATCAAATTTAAGAGAAAAAAAGATTTGCTATTTAGTGGTAAGTGAAGATAACTACGTGCTAGGCAAGTAGTCACCATATAAGTAATGCCCCCAAGCCCTAAGAATGCTATTTTTATTAAGAATACCAGCTGGGGTATGGGAAGGTGGCTCAGTGGTAGAGCACTTGCCTTGTATGATTGAGGCCTTGGGTTCCATTCCTCAGCACCACATAAGCAGAAAAAAAAAAGCCAGAAGTGGCACTGTGGCTCAAGTGGTAGAGCGCTAGCCTTGAGCTGAAGAGCTGAGGGACAGTGCCCAGGCCCAGAGTTCAGGCCCCACGACCGGAACCCCACAAAAAAAAAAAGAATACCAGCTGGGCACCAGTAGTTCTCATGTGTAATCCTACTCAGGAGGTTGACACCAGGATAATGATCAAAAGCCAGCATCCAGCATGGGCAGAAAGTCCAAGAGACTCTGTCTCTTGACTCAAGAGAGCTAGAAGTGGGACAAAAAAGCTAATGAACAGCACCTAGGTCTTGAGTTCAATACCTACTATCAGCAATATAAATATACAGCATCCAAGCTGGGAGCTGGTGGCTCATGCCTGTAATCCTAGCTACTCAGAGGCTGAGATCTGAGGATCACAGTTCAAAGCCAGCCCAGGCAGGAAAGTCTGTGAGACTCATCTCCAATGAGTGGCGCTGAGGCTCAAGTGGTAGAGCGGTCACCTTGAGCTGAAGAGCCCAGGGACAGTGCTCAGGCCCAGAGTTCAAGCCCCACGACTGACCAATAAATAAATAAACAGCATCCTTACTGGGTACCTCTCACCTACGAATCTATTTAGTTATGAGATCCAGAGGATCAAAAACTATCAGATTCCATCACCAAAATAACCAGCAAAAAGCTGAGCCTGAGGCCTGACTCACTAGTACAGTGCTATCTTTAGTAAACTAGCAAGCATTAAAGGTAAGTTGAAACTATGGTAATGCCTTCTCCACTCCCCCCCCCCCCAATATAGGTCCACCAATCCCAAACACGGGAAAAAATAACAAGGAACATGTTATTTTTCTGGTTTTAACTTGAAAGAACAAGGGCCCCTTTAGAGATTGAGGTTACAGAAATCTAATTTTGCCTGGAATTAATGGTCTTTATATATTTATACAGCCTTATAGGAAATCTGTTAAAATTATGAGTCATTTCCTAGTTGTTGGATTAAAAACAAAAGCCGGGCACAGGTGGCTCTTGCCTGTAGTCCTAGCTATCCAGGAGGCTGAGATCTGAGGATCACAGTTCAAAGCCAGTAAGGGCAGGAAACTTTGTGATACTCTTACCTCTAGTTAACCATCAGAACCATCAGAAGTGGCACTGTGGCTCAAGTGGTAGAACATTCGGCTTGAGCTAAATAGCTGAGGGACAGCACCCAGGCCCAGAGTTAAACCCCAGGACAAAATAAATAAGGAACAGATTTCCCTATTGTACTACTATATTTACAACTATGTTTGATGGCCAAGTACTGTAATCCCAGCTATTTAGGGGACACTGGTAAAAAGACCAAAGCCCAAGGCTAGCATGATACAAAATTAAAACCCTAAAAACCTAAAGCTTAAAGGATAGTGTGATCCAGGAACAGTATAGCTGTGGCTCACACCTCCTATATTCTAGCTACTCAAGAGACTGAGATTTAAGGATCGTGGTTTGAAGC